CTGGCTGGCTGAGTGTGTGGCTGGCTGGCTGAGTGGGTGGCTGGCTGAGTGGGTGGCTGGCTGGCTGAGTGGCTGGCTGGCTGGCTGAGTGGCTGGCTGGCTGAGTGGGTGGCTGGCTGGCTGAGTGGCTGGCTGGCTGAGTGGGTGGCTGGCTGGCTGAGTGGCTGGCTGGCTGAGTGGGTGGCTGGCTGGCTGAGTGGCTGGCTGGCTGAGTGGGTGGCTGGCTGGCTGAGTGGGTGGCTGGCTGAGTGGCTGGCTGGCTGAGTGGATGGCTGGCTGAGTGGGTGGCTGGCTGGCTGAGTGGCTGGCTGGCTGAGTGGGTGGCTGGCTGGCTGAGTGGCTGGCTGGCTGAGTGGGTGGCTGGCTGGCTGAGTGGGTGGCTGGCTGAGTGGCTGGCTGGCTGAGTGGCTGGCTGGCTGAGTGGGTGGCTGGCTGAGTGGGTGGCTGGCTGAGTGGGTGGCTGGCTGGCTGAGTGGGTGGCTGGCTGAGTGGCTGGCTGGCTGAGTGGGTGGCTGGCTGAGTGGGTGGCTGGCTGGCTGAGTGGGTGGCTGGTTGGCTTAGTGGGTGGCTGGCTGAGTGGCTGGCTGGCTGAGTGGGTGGCTGGCTGAGTGGGTGGCTGGCTGGCTGAGTGGGTGAGTGAGTATGCCCTAGGCACAGTGCCTACTGTGCCCTATTGGATAATACGGCCCTTGTTAGCAAGCGAGCGGCCTGGCAGCGCAGCGTGCGTCGCAGGGCGCCCATTCCGATGTGAGCGGAACAATCACGACCTTTGCACCCCTCCTCCTGCGAGAGATCGCCACGCACAGAGAATAATTATGACTATTATTACGACCATCATTATTAGCACCGCTATCCCGGCACATTGGAAGCGGCGCTTGGGTGTTTGGGGATGCGCTGTTGGCAAGCTCTGCACAGCAGGCGTCGATTCAAACGCACAGCCGTGCGTGGCGGCATTCAGCAGCGGCGTTCAGCGGCACGTGGTGAACACCTCTGAGCCTCGTGCGGTCTCTCTGTGGCGAGGAGATGTTAACTACCTCACCTGGTATACAGGAGGTCTTGGGTTCGATCCCGACCCTGACGCCTGCTGTATTTCTGGAGTGCGTGTCTATCTCTCCCCGTGGTCGCGTGGGATTTTTCTCCGTTTTTTTTGTCCCCTCTACATTTCGAATCGACGTCACGCGGTCACAGTATTTGGCTGCTGGTCATTTCCACGTGATGATGGGCCACTTTGTTGGTGCGCTATCATTTGTAGCCAGGCCTTATCTGGTCAAATGAAAATGGATTACGAGTTTAGTTGAACTCGGGCCGTCGAGTTCATCGCAGTGCGCTAACCAAAGCGCCACCGCTCCGATCGCTGCTTGAATACCAAGGGATGCAACCGAGCAATGCGCATGTCGTGTTTAGGCTTCTGGAGCGAACGCGATGGAACGAGCAGCGAGGGAGCACGGAGCCTGCCCGAGGTCTCGGCAGGGTTGTGAGTTCGCATCCTGGTTGGGGGGGGGGGGTTGACTCGGCCCATCATCCCTTCGGGGCTCGGTAAAACTAGTACCGCCTTAAATTTCGATGTGACTGCAGGGATTCATCTTCTTGGTTCTTTCGGTAAAGTCACGTAGAATGGAAATAATAAAATATTTTTATTATATTAATTTATTCTATTATGTTTTCTTTTTATTATTTTATTATTTCCATTCTACGTGACTTTACCGAAAGAACCAAGAAGATAGTACCACCTTGTGGGGAAGTGGACAGTACTCGCCCCCCGCCGTAGGAATGAGGAATTGCCACCGCTGGCTCAGGGCTGTACGCAGGAACGAGCGCCGCCTCGATGCTCGATTGGAGCGGCGGGGCGAATGCGCGGCGTGTCGAGCACCCGGCGTTGGTGCGTTACGTAAGAACTGCATTGCGAGTCCCCTTCTGTTGTCCTCTACTCTTCCTCAACTCCGTCTTGTGCCAGGTAAGGCCCCGCCGAGCTGCTGTGTAGCTCTGTCTCAGAAGCGTCCTGGCCACAAGCAGATGGCTCAGCGAAGTGGCTCATCATCGCGTGGACATTGAGAGCAGCCAAACACTCTGAGCGCGTGACGTTGATCCTAAATGTCGAGGGAAACACCGGAGCATCCGGAGAAAAGTGCACGCGACCACGGGGAGAGAGAGAGAGAGAGAAACGCAAACTCCGAGGATACAGCAGCAGGCATCAGGGTCAGGATTGAACCCACGACATCCTGCATACCAGGCGAGGTAGTCAACATCTCGTGACCGCGTGTATTTCGGCTCGCCATCAAAGCAGTGCTGCAGAGATAAGCAGCTTGGACCGGTTTTGTCCTAATCGGGACCCAATCGGCACGGCGCAGTCACTGCTGCAAAGTCGGCAAAAACCCGCCGGGCAAACGAAACGCGGCGTGAAAATCATCGCGGCGCCCAAACACCGCGCATAAACCCGCAGACGTTTACCCCCCCCTCACCCCCCCATTTTAAAATGTGGAGCAATCTCGTGAGGTCTGCATCACGCAGCAGCAGCAGCAGCGGCTTCATCAAACCTGGCCCTCGCGTCGCGCAAGGCCGCTAGCGACGACGCGTCCTCGGCGTCGTGCGTAGTTCACCGGCGGCGTGCGGGTCGCCCCGTCTCGGTTTGCGCGTCGCGCCTTCCTCAGCGGGATCTTTCGTGCCGAGCCGCGTCGCTCGTCCCCACTTCATTTTGCCCTCGTGAGAGCAACACGAGAAGTGGGAGGGGGGGAGATTCGAGGGTCTGTTGGATGTGAAATGAGAGCACAAAGGATGGGAACGGGAGCATAGAGATGTTACAGACTGGAGGTTCGTTGAATTTCTTTCGCACCCCGCGTAGCCAACCGCGCTCATCGGAGGCGCCGCGGTGGTTGGGATAACAAAAAACTAAACGGCACAAAAAAGCAGTTACCGAGGAAAATGAGTTTTCCAATCGGCCTCTCTGCGTACAACTCCCCCCCCCCCCCCGCCATTCTGGCGTGGCCCGCGACAATCGCGCTGACCGCGCGGAAACGCAGAACCCAGTAACGCCTCATGCCCCCCGTACGTTGTTCCCTCTTGCGTGGTGGTGGTGGTGGTGGTAAAGATAGAAAAAACACGCAGCCGCACTTTTTACACAACAAGCCTTCGGGGACCGCACGGCCCCAACGCGACCCTCGGTTATGAGCAGCCCGACGTTACGTTCATTGACGCAGACCGACGTTACGTTCATTGACGCAGACCGAACATTCCACGCGACGTTGTCTTCGTGCAAATTGCGCGTGGCGTCCGCTAAGCGGGAAGGAAGAGGGCCGCGAGTGGTGAGGCTGGCCAGGCGGGTGAGCCGGTGCCAGCAACAGTCGCTCTGCGGTTCTATACGTATGAAGATGTTTTTCAGACGGCGAGCGAGTGTTCATCTGACGTGTTTGGAGGAAGCCGGAGGCAACCATCTCTGCAAGAAAGCGGTCCGAGTTCAACGTGGCAAACTCTATAAATGAGCACGTTTGTTTGTTACTTTGAGAGACAAATACCGTAGGGGAAGAGTGGCTGTTATTTATCTCGTGTGAGCATTTCCAACAGTATGTTAAGGCTATATGGGGGGTCTTTGTTTGTGTATGTGCTTGTGTATGGGGAGCGGTAGTCCCATCAAAACTAAGCACTTGCCTGGTATTTTATGCCACCAAACAATCCACCCCCTCAGCTCCCCACTGGAGATGGAGCAGTAACAGAGAGAGTGGAGAGTTTCCCATACCTGGGCAGTATACTTATGACCAGCTCTGTGTGCCTTTGACCTAGCTACGTTCTGATAGCAGAGGTCTCACTACAAATCAGTCGGGCGGCATTATATTTTCATCAGCTGCGCAATGCTGTGTGGAAGCTACCTGGTCTGTCGCTCTGCAGGAAGCTTCGGGTCTTCTCGGCTACAGTCATGCCCTTCCTTTTCTATGCTTGTGAAACGTGGACCCCTCTAATGGAACATCTGCGCCGGTTAGAAACATTCAGGCTGGCCAGCCTACGATCCATCCTGGGTTTAACCAGGCTGGATTGTGTGAGGAGCTCACAAATCCTTGAGCTCCTCCGGCAGGCAAAGCTGCATTGGCTGGGTCATATCGCCCAGAAGCCCGGCCACAGCATGCCCAAGCAGCTTCTGTTTGGCCGCATAGAGGGGGCTTAACGGGCGGGACATGGACTGGAGAAGAGATGGAGTGATGCGGTACAGGAGGATGTGTAGCTGAGTGGACTTGCCGACGACTGGTACCAGCGGTGTCAAGATTGGCCTCTGGAGGAGGTGCAATGACAACAGAGGGCAGAGGAGCGACGCTCACAACAACGAGCGGAGCGCTGGGCGGCTAAAATGCAGCAAGTTGGCACAGTAGGGGGTACAGCTGGTGCATCACCAGTTATCTCTGTCAACCAACCCATGGCACCTGCTGGATCTGTCCCGAGGCCTCCTCCTGTCAGCGAGCCTTCGACATTGCACATGGCCTCAAAGGGCACCTGGCCTCGCACAGCCCCCATGGTGACGTCACCGTCACTTAGTGGCGAATTGACGGGTATTGGTATTAGAGCGGTAGCGTAGCAGCAAGTGCACTGCGCTACGCACCCTCAATTACCTCGTACCTCGTGCGGTGTATACATCACCACTGGGGAGACAAAGGCGGTTGGGTGTAGTTCTGGCCACGCACCCCCTGTTGTGCTTGCCGTGCCGGCCTTAATAGGTGCTCGCTAACATCACTTGTCCCAACAGTCTTTTAAGGGCTGCACGTGGGGACCTTTATCTCTGTGTGTTTTTGTGGGCGCTCTCTTTGCTGGTCACACCACACACACAGCCTGCCACTGCCGATACGACCAGCAGGAAGTTGACAGCAACAACAAAAATCCGCGGCAGTCGCCACGAGTACCAGCGCTGCCTTTCATGCGGGACCGGGGGAGGGGCTCCCCCCCCCGCACCCCCCCCCCTTGCCCCCCCTCCCTACACAAAGCGGAACCCACAAACGGCAAACTCCGCGGTGCGCAAAGCGGCAGTCTCGCCGGAGCGTCCGTCCGTCCGCCAAGCTGGGAGGATCTGTCCCGCGTCGCGGCGACGAGTCGCGGTGATCGGGATTGCCGTCCGGCTCCGTCCGGCTCCTGCGTCTGGCTGTCCCTTGGTCTCGTGTCCGCCAGATCGGTGAGCGCGGCACTCCCGAGTGGAACGCTCGCCACCGTGTGGTTCCCGCGCCTTTTATTGCGGCAATCCACGGCGGGGGTCGCACGTGGCGGGGTGCCCGCTCGCGCTTCGGTACGTTCGGCCACGTGGCCGCTCGCGATGTTTTTTGTTGCAAACGTTTGCCGAGCACAGGGCCCAAGAGGGCGGCCCGCAAACGGGCGAGCGGAGCGGCCAGTGGCGAGAGCGGCGAGAGGTTGAAGGTGAACGCCTTAAGGTGTCATAGCGCACGCGCGCGCGTGTGTGTAAGCGCGCGTGTGTGTAAGCGTGCGCGCAGACGCGTTTTTTGCGTCGTGGTTTTTGCGAGCGACGCCGGAATTGTCCGGTCAACTTGTGGCGGTCGCCGTGCGTGGTCGAGAGGTCGCGGGGTCGCGGGGTTGCTCTCCATCCGGCTGCTCGTGGTCTTTCCCTCTTGCCTGCTGCCTCGTCTCTCGCGGCCCAGAAGCCTTCGCAGAGGCCACGTGCCGGGCCCACGGGCCCACAAGGCGAGAAGACGTGCAGGGTCTGTAAATGATGTGTACGTATTTTTTGTAATAATCGTATTTTCAACACGTACATTGGTGCGGGGGGGAGGTCCGACCGATGTTCACGGATCAGCCGGACGTGTGATCGGGGAACCCTGTAAGTTCCGCGAGGTCTGCGGATGGATTCTGTGGGGCCGTTACATAGGGTGGGGGTAGATGGTGTGAAATTTATAGTGTTCATCCCACGGCATCGGTCATTTGGTAATTAGGTAGGGACATTCCACGCGTACGTTTCACAGGCCTTCGTCAGTCCACTGCCGGATGAGGGCTTCCCCACGCCTGTGGGGGTCATGGCGGTTGTTTTGACCGTACTTCACCGTGCTCGTCGCTGCCTCTCGGCGGGGCGGGTGCCCACGAGGGGTACCGGTCCACGGCACGCCGCCGATGCGAGCCGTCGCCCGGAATCGAATCGCGGGTCTCTCCGGATTCGTAGCGCGGTGCGCTCACCGCTGCGCCGCCGCTCCCCCGTCCCCGCCCCTCAAGAGCGGTTGCTAATTTGTATCCGAGTCGCATCACCTCCGGCGGCAGTGGTTAGCGATGGGAAAGCACCTTTAGGTCGTCTCTCGCCACGAGCGGTGGAGCGTGTCGCTCACGGGCTGCTCCTCCAGCCCCCCCCGCCTCCTCCTCCTCGGCGGTCTCCGTGTGTGTATCTGAGCGTCGATCTCCACTCCACGCTCCTCACCGGTCGGGGTGGCTCACTGGGAGAGCGAGCGGCTCCCGAGGTCAAATCCTCGGTGAGGGGCAGAGGCTGGGGGAGTGGTGACCCATCGTCCCTCTTCCTCGTTGTCGATACAGTGAGTGCCATCGTGCGGCGGAGCCCAACGGTGGCTTTTTTGTGGGGAGACTCTCCCCTGCCCCCCGCCATAGGAATGTGGAATTTCCAACACTGGCTCTGCAGGGCGGGTAAGCTGGAGATGGGCGACCGGTACCTCGGCGCTAAGTTGAGCAGGAAATCACTTTGACTTTCAAAAAATGTAAACAGAAGTGAGACCGCCCGGTGTGTCTGTCGAGTCGGAGCGTGATGATGCTCGTGATAGTGGCGATGGTGGTGGTCGTGATAGTGGTAGTGATGGCGGTGGTGGTGATGGTGGTGGCGATGGTGGTGGCGATGGTGGTGGTCGTGATGGTGGTAGTGACGGCGATGGCGGCGGTGATGGTGGTGGTCGTGATGGTGGTAGTGATGGCGGCGGTGATGGCGGCGGCGGTGGTGGTGATGGTGGTGGTGATGGCGGCGGTGATGGTGGTGGTGATGGTGGTGGTCGTGATGGTGGTAGTGATGGCAATGGCGGCGGTGATGGTGGTGGCGATGGTGGTGGTCGTGATGGTGGTAGTGACGGCGATGGCGGCGGTGATGGTGGTAGTGATGGTGATGGTGGCAGCGATGGTGGTGGTAGTGATGGCGGCGGTGATGGCGGCGGCGGTGGTGGTGATGGTGGTGGTGATGGCGGTGGTGATGGTGGTGGTGTCCGGCAAAACAACCTCCTACCTCCTCGCGGTGCCGGACGGGCAACACTGTCGTGGGCAGTGCTGTGGGGGGAGGGCCAATGCCCATTGGCCTCTCCCCTCATGGCGTCTGTGACCACCACAGTGGCTAAACGGGGGCTCTGGACGGGTGCGAGGGGCTGGTAACCCCTCCACCTTCAATTCATTACCACTAAACCACGAATTAAACATACGAACATCCGTGGAGGGATGCAAGCAAAGCCGATGAGTCAGACGCTTTCTATGACCTCCTGTCACAGGTGCTGGCTAAAGTGGCCACTCGGGACAGAGTCATCTTGTTGGGTGACTTCAATGCCCGAGTTGGTCATGATGCTGACACCTGGTCTGGAGTGATTGGAAGGCATGGGCCAGATCAGCTCAATAATAACGGTAGGAGGCTGCTAGATTTGTGTGTAGCCCATGGGCTTGTAATTACCAACACGCTCTTCCGGCATCGGCGCATCCACACAACATCATGGATACATGCCGGGTCCAAGCAAGAACATCTGCTGGACTACATAGTGACGGACCAGCGGATGCGAACCCATGTCCTTGACACCAGGACCTACCGTGGAGCTGATCTGTCCTCTGACCATCGACTAGTCATCTGTAAGATGCGCCTGCCTTTCTTCCACTCCGGTGGTGGGTGTACACCCAGGATCCCATTCCAACCAAAAGTGGCCTGGTCTCAGTTAGCTGATGAAAGTTGCAAGCGAGAATTTCATCATCGCTTGCAGCTGGGGTTGGCATCGTCCCCCACTCCACCTGATGTCGAGGGTAAATGGGCGAGGTTTAGGACTGTGACTCATGCAGCTGCAATGGCTGCTTTGGGTACGCGGTCCAGACCTCCCCAGAAACCCTGGCTGACAGAGGAGGTGTTCAGGTTAATTGAGAAAAAGCGACAGGCCCACTCTCATCGCCTACAGCATCCCACGTCAGAGAATGAGGAGGTTTACCGCAGCCTTCGCTCGGAAGTTCGGAGAGCCGTAAGGCGTTGTAAGGATGGGTGGTGGTCGCGGGTTGCTGAGGAGATGGAGTCTGCCTCAGTGGCCCGTGATCACAAATCACTATTTAACTCCATCAAAAAAGTAACCTGCAGCGCCACACCTATTACCATCATTAGAGGAAAAAACGGTGATCCAATCTCCGACCCCCAGGAACAGGTTTGCAGATTTGCTGAGCATTTCTGTGAGGTCCTGGGGGAGGGAAATTCTCTCAGCCAGGAAAACATCATGGCACAAAGTGGGGATAACCCTGCTGAGGCTGCGGTGCCTCAAATATTGGAAGAGGTCACCCCCTGTGAGTGGCTGGCTGAGGTTCCAGCTGTTGAGGAAGTACTGAGGGCGATCCGGAGTCTGAGACCAGGGAAGGCACCGGGCAGAGATGATCTCCCAAGCGAAATGCTGAGGGAGGGTGGCGTTTGTGCACAGACTGCCCTATATGACATCATAACAACAGTCTGGACCACTGGACGGGTTCCGCAGGACTGGAAGGATGCCCTGGTGGTCCCCCTCTTTAAGAAGGGGGACCGCACAGACTGTAACAACTACAGGGGCATCTCACTCCTCAGTGTGCCGGGTAAGGTCCTGGCAAGGATTATTCAACATCGCCTTGCTAGGCACGCTGAGGAGGGGCTTGCGGAGCCCCAATGCGGTTTCAGGAAAGGGCGGTCCTGCACAGATGCCATATTTTCTGTCCGTCTGCTACAGCAGAGGTGTAGGGAATTCCAAAAAGACCTACATCTCTGCTTTATTGACCTGGTCAAGGCCTATGATACCATCAGTAGGACTGGACTCTGGGTTGTTCTTCGTGCTTTCGGAGTCCCTGACCCTCTGCTCACGATCATTAAGGACCTTCATGATGGTGAGCGGGCCCGGGTAAAACTACGTGGCCGGGAGTCGGAGCCTTTCCCTGTACACCTTGGGGTGCGACAGGGATGTCCTCTGGCTTCCACATTATTTAACATCTATTTTGACCGCGTAGTTCGTGAAGCCTTCAATAGCTGTACCGGGGGAATTTCCGTTTGGTACAGATATAATGGGAGGCTGATCGACGCCCGGGTGCGATCAAGGGATGGCTCCCTATTGGTCAACCACGTTATGTATGCCGATGATTTGGTAATAGCTGCTCATTCAGAAGAGGAGTTGGAGGCGCTGCTGCTGAGACTGGAGCGTGCCACTAAGAGGTGGGGCCTTACCATCAGCCCCACCAAAACCAAGCACCTGCCTGGGTATTTTGTACCATCGGACACTCCACCCCCACAACTCCCAATTGGTGATGGGGCAGTTGTGGAGAGAGTGGAGAGTTTCCCATACCTGGGCAGTGTGCTTATGACCGGCTCCAGTCTATCAGCAGAGGTCTCACTCCGAATCAGTCGAGCGGCAATATCTTTTCATCGGTTGCGTAACGCTGTGTGGAAGCTACCTGGTCTGTCGCTCCGCACGAAGCTTCAGGTCTTCTCGGCCACGGTCATTCCCTCCCTTCTCTACGCTTGCGAGACGTGGACCCCCCTGGTGGAGCATCTTTGCCGGTTGGAAACATTTAGGCTGGCCTGCCTACGATCCATCCTGGGTTTAACCAGGCTGGATTGTGTGAGGAGCTCACAAATCCTTGAAAGATCTGGGCAAAGTCCCATCAGTGAGCTCCTCCGGCAGGCAAGGCTGCGTTGGCTGGGTCATGTAGCCCGCATGCCCAGCCACCGCATGCCTAAACAGCTTTTGTTCGGCCGGATCGAGGGGGCTAGACGGGCGCGGCACGGGCTGGAGAAGAGATGGAGTGATGTGGTACAGGAGGACGTGGAGCTGAGTGGACTTGCCGATGACTGGTACCAGCGGTGTCAAGATCGGCCTCAGTGGAGGAGGCTCGTGAAGGACGCTACTGGGCAGTTGGAGGCAGTCGCCCTCCAACAACAACGGAGGGCGGAGGAGCGACGCTCACAACAACGAGCGGAGCGCCGGGTGGCTAAAGCACAGCAAGTTGGCACAGTAGGGGGCACAGGTGGTGCATCAGCCAGTCATCTCGGTCATCTCGGTCAGTCGACCAGTGGCACCTGGGTCTGCCCCGTGACCTCCTGCCAGCGGGCTTTCGACACTTCACGTGGCCTCAAGGTGCACTTGGCCTGGCACAAGCATCGTGGTGACGTCACCGCCACTTAGTGGCGAATGGCGGTTGTTGTTGTTGATGGTGGTGGTGATGGTGGTGGTCGTGATGGTGGTAGTGACGGCAATGGCGGCGGCGATGGTGGCAGTGATGGTGGTGGAGATGGTACGCGCGCCTGAGCATGTGTCCCGTGGGGTGGCGACGTGCGCACGCTGTACCACGGTGTCCGTTCCGGCGCCCTCACCGTTGGCACGGCGGTCGTTTACACGGCCCAGCGCTGCTCGCGTGTGAGTGTGTGGTGGGTGGCCCGAGTTCGATTTCCGCTCACACCAGTGACGATAATCTGAACTGCTCCTGAGCCTCCCCCTAGGTCGACTCGGCCTCAAATGATTACCTGGTGCGGTGTGTAAAAACATGTACCAGCGTTCGTAGGTGCTCGCGAACGCGTGCGCATGTAATGTTATCCACGTGGCTGTACTCTGTGTGTGTGCGTGCGTGTAATGTTATATCCATGTTCCGCTTCGCGCGTCTCTTCCGCAGACTCCGCGTGCGATGGCCACAGAGGGAGCCTCCACGCCGGGCGGGGTGAGGCCGGCCTCCAGCAGCGAGGAGCAGCAGCAGCAGGAGCAGCAACAGGAGCAGCAGCAGGAGCAGCAGCAGGAGCAGGTGGCCTCCTCCACGGCCAAGCAGGCAAGAGGCGGACAACTCGGACAGCTCACAGAGACAACGCACACAAGACAAAGATTCCCCTGCGTAGCCGGGGAATCTTCAACAAACTGTAGGGGCAATAGCAACTCTGAAGGCCGGCACGGCACACGGGGGGGGGTGGGTGGCCAGCACCACGCCCTGCCACCTTTGTCTCCCCAGTGGCGATGTTTACACCTCATTTGGGGCTGTTTACTCATTTGGGGCTGAGTCAACCTAGCGGAGGCCCAGGACCAGTTCAGATATAAGTGACCGGTGTTGGCCGTGAGCGGGAATAGAATCCATGTCTCCAGGTTCGTAGCGCAGCACGCTAACCGCTGCACCACCGCTCCCCACTGCACCACCCAGCACACACACACACGTATAGTACGACACGTCATTAATTTAAATATAAGGAAGATAAACCAGGCATATGCGTGGGTTGTAAGGGCTGTGCTTCCTAGTATTCACGTGAATGTAAAAAAATCCCGCTGGCAGGGGAGATGAGTCTGTAAATCATCCGTGTGGATGATTACATCTCTCTCTCTTTTTTCCCATTTTACGCTCGGGCAGTTTCTCAGCGGTCAGCACAAGTGCGATGATATTTTTAATTACTCGGGGAGGGAATTAATCGCCGTGCCGGTTGGCGCATGAGGTCCGGTGGCTTCGCGAGCCTCCGCCGGGCAGCATTGACAAACGGTGCGTGGTTTTTATTCTTTGTCGCTACTCGTTTTAAACGCTCTTCGTATTCAACGCAATCCAGGCGTAGTCATGCTCAGTGCGCACACGTGCGTGTGCGCGTGTTTCTGCGTGTGTGTGTGTGCGCGTGTGTGTGCATGCATGCGTATGGGGAGCATGAGTGCGCTGCTCTGCGAACCCGGCTGCCTGAGTTGGATTCCCACTCACGGCCAACACCAGTGACGATTATCTGACCCGGTCCTGGGCCTCCCTTAGGTCGACTCAGCCTCAAATGAGTACCTGGTGTGGTGAGTAAAAGCATTGCCACTGAGGAGACAAAGGCGATCGGCCGTGGTGCTGGCCACCCACCCCGGCGTGTGCCAACAGTCTGTTAAGGCTATACGGGGGATCTTTGTATGGGGAGCACGTTAGCTAGAAATTCTTAACGTGGCTTTGTGGTAATGAAATTGAAGGTGGAGGGGCTACCAGCCCCTTGCACCCGTCAAGAGCCCCCATTTGGCCGCTGTGGTGGCGACAATCGCTGTGGGGGGAATGGCCGATGTTGCAATTTGCCTTCCCTGCACGGCACATCGCACATCCACGGCACAGCGGTACCGCCCAGCACCGCCGCGGAGGTAGGGGCCTGCTTTTGCCGGACGCTTCACGTGGCCCCTAAAGCGCACTTAGCCTGGCACGAGCGCCGCTGTGATGTCACCGCCACTTAGTGTCGAATGGCGGTTGCTGCTGCTGCTGACCGTATGGGGGGCGGTAGTGTAGTGGTTAGCGCTGCGCTATGAACCCGGCTGTACAAGTTCGATTCCCGCTCACGGCCAACACCAGTGACGATTATCTGAACCGGTCCTCGGCCTCTCCTAGGTCGACTCGGCCTCAGATGAGTAGCTGTTGCGGTGTGTAAACATCACCACTGGGGAGATAACAGTGACCGTGCGTGGTCACGGTCACCCAACCCCTCGTGTACCGTGTCGGCCTTCATAGGTGCCGCTCGCTAACAGCACTTGCCCCAACAATCTATGGGAGGAAACCAGAGAAACGCGGAGGAATCCCAGGCAGACCACGGGGGGAGAGAGAACGCACCGACTGGGCTCGGCGAGGCTTCCGAGTCGGGAGTCGAACTCCCAGGCCCCATGCTGCCGTGAGCCATCGGTGCCACCACGGCCGCCGCCCGAACGTTTCGTTCCGCCCGCTCTCTGGACGACAGAAACCCGCCGCCCCTCCCTCGCTGTTGCCAACAAGCGGGGGAACTCGCCGCAGCGGCCGCGGGGGATCCAACTGCGGAAGTTGGATTTCAACATTTCACAGTCGGGTGCCCCCCCCCCGCCCGTCACACACACCACCCCTCCTCCCCCCCCTCCCTAGCTACCCAGCCACCCAGCCACCCATGGCTTCCATTTTCCTCTCGCTGTCTACCCCGCGCCATCGGTCTGGACCCCTGTGCCAGCCTGGATCGGCGTTAAAAAAACAACGAGGATGAGAACCCATGCCACGCTTGCGTGGATCCTGCGGCGCTTTCTAACACGGCGGCGCCTTTGTCGTCGCCCGCCCGCCCTCGGTTAGGGCGTTTAATCGGTTCGGTGGCGGTGAGAATTATTGGTGGCGATGGCGTCACGTTGAGAGCCGCGCGGCGCGCTGGCGGTGTCGCGCGGTGTGCGTGACGGGGGTCATGGAGGTCGCGGGGGTCGCTGGGGTTGTTGGGGTTGTTGGGGTCGTGCGGGTGACTGGGGTCACGGGGGTCGCGACGCGTGACGTCGTCTCCTCCTCGGCCGGCAGCGCCGGTCCCCCTCTTGGCGCCGGAGCTGATCGTCGCCGAGCGCCGTTGCTGGAGCTCGAGTCCCCCGGTAGCGACGCAACCGGACACTCGAGACGCGTCGATGTTGGATCATCGCTACGGGCGTTGCCGTGCCGCCCCCTCCCCCGCACCGCCCCCGCTACGGACGGTGCCTGACGCCTCAACGCCATCATCCTTACCTGGCACGCAAAACGCTGTACATGTCGCCTCACCTTCAGGAAGGGCTGCACCAGCGGTCGGCAACCAAAATAACAAGAGGAGTCATTTTGTTAGAATTGTGTAAAAAATCAACTCAATTTGTCAAGAGCCCCGCAGTGCCGCGTGAATGCTCGACGATGGCCCTTGATAAATAACGTCACGAAGCAATCCTTAAAGAGCCGCATGCGGCTCCACGACCGACGATTTACAGCCCCTTCGGATGATTGCTCCCTCCCCACGCCGTGTGGGCGGTCACGGGGGTCGTCTGTCCGTACTTCACAGCGCCGGTCTGTGGGCCGCAGCGGCTCGGATACCGCGTGGCACCGCCGATCGCCGTGGCCGCACTCCGCCAAAGCGCTTTCGACTTCCATTCGGCGCTCGTCCCTTGCTGCGGTCGATCGATTGACGAGGCCTTGGTGCGACGTGGGAAGGCTGTGGCCGCAGGGGAACCGCAGCTTCCCAGCCATCTCAGTCGCGGCTCGACACCTCGTCACGCGGGGAGAAAGAAGATTTTTTATACTCACAACGAAGGTAAAGGCGCAGCCCTGCGAATGCTAGCCGACGCCGCTGCTGGGGGAAGGTGCCTCCACTCGAAAAATAAATTCCCTTTCTGCTCGGGAAGGGGACCTCTACTGGGCACGTGTGAAAAAGAGCTTTACAGCTCATCGGATTTCTCGGCGATGAGAACGGATTCTGATTGCGAGTACGCCGCTCTCGAGAGCCCCTGTCGAGTACTCGGCCTCCTCGTCCCCAACGCCGGCCGGACGTCGCGCAAAGGGAGTGAAACCAAACACGTGGCGCAGAGGGAGTGAAACCAAGCACGTGGTGCAGAGGGAGTGAAACCAAACACGTGGTGCAAAGGGAGTGAAACCAAGCACGTGGTGCAAAGGCAAAGGGCGGCTGCGGCAGCGTCAAGACGTGTCGGCGTGCGAACGTCACGGCCGCTGTCAACGGTCGTGGCGGGCGAGGCGGGCGAGGCGAGAGAGACGCGTGGCGTTGTGCAAGCTCCGCGCGTTTCTCATTCCTTCACGCCATCCCGTCGCCGTTCCCGCCGTTGTCAGCAGCGGCAGCAGCAGGCCCAGCAAGGTGCCTTCTTCCCGGTTCCTCTTGAGCGGATCGCTGTCGGAAGGTCGCGGGCTCGAGTCCTGGTTGGGGTTGGGCTCGACTCGGACCGAAGACGGTGGAGCTGCGTTCAGGGGCGCAGCTGATTTCAACACCACCATGAGCACCATCACCACCACCATCACCACCACCATGACCACCACCATGACCACCATCACCACCACCATCACCACCATCACCACCACCATCGGAGAAATATCCCCCTTATAGCCTTAACAGACTGTTGGGGCAAGTGCTGTTAGCGAGCACCTATGAAGGCCTGCACGGCACACGAGGAGGTGGGTGGCCAGCACCACGCCCGGCCGCCTTTGTCTCCCCAGTGGCACAATGTTTACACACCGCACCAGGTACTCATTTGAGGCTGAGTCGACCTAGGGACAGCCCAGTTCAGATAATTGTCACTGGTGTCGGCTGTGACCAGGAATTGAACTCAGGGCAGCCGGGTTCGTAGCGCAGCTTAGCGCTAACCGCTACACCACCGCTCCCCACACCACCATCGCCACCATCGCCACCATCACCACGATCGCCACCACCACAGTTCGACTCACAGGGCGCTCTTCCTCGTGTCAATCCAAACTCACCAAGACTCTCTTCAAGACACGACTGTCTCCCGTATAACAATAATCTGTGAGGCTATAATAATCTGATTGTAGTCGCACCGTGTGTTGGGTTTAGAGTCGGACAGTCTTAACCAGTGACAGTGTTGCTAAAAAGCAACACTGTACAACACTCACTCTTAAGTTGCCGTGCGTCTTGCTTTCATGCGCATGTCAGTGAGCGGTACTAATATTTAACGCCGTGTGTATTCTAGCGTCTTCATTTGTAATGATGTTCTTTGGCATTCACGGTCAACTGTTGGAATATTTTTTGTTTATCTGTTGATTCAGGGGTGCCCCCCCCCCTCCCCCGCGACCCACTGGGCCTCCGATGCGTCACATAATGCTGCCACGTAACCCACCCCAGCCCCCCATAGTTACACCCTTGGCTGCGGTACACCTCCGTTGCTCCGGCTACTGTTGCCACGGCAACCGTTGCCACGGCTACCATTGCCACGTGAACTTCACGCGTGCTGAGGGACCCCGGCCTCGAGCAAGACGCTGACCGCACCGTCTCATTCATCACTCTGTGTTCAGCCGCCATCACCATCATCGCCATCACCACCATCGCCGCCATCACCATCACCGCCATCACCGCCATCACCATCACCGCCATCACCGCCACCACCACCACCACACGTTGCAACAACAGATAAAGATCCCCTGTGTAGCCTTAGCAGACTGTAGGAGCAAGTGCTGTTAGCGAGTAGCAGCACCTATTAAGGCCGCGGCACGGCACACGAGGCGGTGGGTGGCCAGCACAACGCCTGACCGCCTTTGTCTCCCCGGTAGCGATGTTTTTGCACACCGCACCAGGTAATCGCTTGAGACTAAGTCGACCTAGGGGAGGCCCAGGACCGGTTCAGATAATCGCCACTGGTGTTGACTGTGAGCGGGAATCAAAGAGTGCTGTTAGCGAGTAGCAGCACCTATGAAGGCCAGGGCATAGCGCACGAGGGGGTGGTTGGGCAGCACCATGCCTGGCCAGTCACAACAACACACCCACTCACTCGCTCACCCACTCACTCGCTCACCCACTCACTCGCTCACCCACTCACTCGCTCACCCACTCACTCGCTAACTCACTCACCCGCTCACCCACCAACTCACTCACCCACCCACTCATTCCCTCACCCACCCGCTCACCCACCCACTCACCACACTGCCGGTCACCTGACTTCTCTTTCTGCGTCTTTCCTCGCCCTCCCATTGTCCACCTCCCCAGGTTGTCACAGTAACCCTGCTGCTCAGTTCCAAGACCCGTTTTACACGCTCATCAGCATTACAACTTTGATGAGAGTGCTGTATGTTGCTGGCCGCTTGGCATTTTGGTCCCTTGGGTCTTAGCTCTGAAGCTGCGGTGAACACCGACAGCGGCATCGATGTCACGCGAGCCACCGTCGGCGCGGCGCACCCGGCGGCCGTGACGGTGTCAGGATTTACACGACGACGCTCTCGTGGCCACCGCCCCCCCCCACTTCCCCGTGACTCACGCCGTGAGCTGATTGGCCCGAGCGGGGGATCGCTTGATGGATGATGCGGCACTCGACCCGCACAACGCAGAGTCACTCCATCCACGCGAATGAGATGCAGAGGGCCGCCCCCACCACCCCCCCCAGGGAAAAGGGGGGCCTGAAGGGGAACGGTTGCACCCCACCCCCCCCCCCCCCCCGTGGCAAGATGTTAACTACCTTGCCTTGTATACAGGAGGTCGTGAGTTCCATCCCGACCCTGACTCCTGCTCTATATTTTGAGTTCGCGTGTCTCTGTATCTCTCTCCCCGTGGTCGCGTGGATTTTTCTCCGGCTCCTCCGGTTTTCCCCGGTTCAGAGTGTTTGGCTGCCCCTATACATTTCCACACGACGATGATAAGCCACTTCACTGAGCTATCACTTGTCATGGCCAGGTCGCTTCTGAGAATGAGCTACGCAGCTCAGTGGGGCCTTACCCCGTCAAATACATAGTGGTAGTAGTTTAGGGGCACCCGCCGCGTGCGATGAATCGTTTGAGACGATTCACGGCCGTGAGATTTGTGCGCACGAGCGGTGACGGCGTGACGCATGTACAATCGTTTGCGTGGCGTTGGCGCGGTGGCGCAGAGGTCGTCCTGTGGAGCTGTCAACCCAGCGACAGGAGAGTTTGATTCGCGGCCGTGGCTGACGATGGGTGGCGAGTGATATCGGAACCGGTCCTGGGGACGCAACCTCCTTCCTTCACCGAGCCGCACCCGCCAGCGTGTGGTGAAGTATGACCGCGTCGGAGACCCGCGGTCATGCATTGGTGGAGAATGGCTGGAACATATTTTCGCTGTTTCCGTTTAGATAGTCACATGATGTGATGACAAAGCAACTCACGTGCGCCACTGACGGGGGGTGGGGGGGGATAGCGGGGGGTGGCGGTGGTGCTGGTTGTGTTACCCCTGACGAGGGGAGGGGTGGAGCAGGTTGTGTTACCCCTGTGTGGGATCCCGCGGTTGTGTGAGTTGAACCCCCCGATGTGGCTCGGAGAGCTGAATGGAGTTCAAGACAACTCCCAACAAACACCGCCTTGTTGTGAATGAGCCAACGCAGAAGATCCCCTGGGGTTTGATCTTCCACGAAGCTGCTCCCGGTCCACCCTAAACTGTATCCGCTGCACAAACCACAATACCTGATGATGATGATGATGATGCACAAGTGGAAAATGTGAAACTCTCCAGCAGTGTTGCGACTGTGGCCATCCAGAATGGAGGCGGTACGCAGCGCGTAGCGACGCAACACCCCGATCCACAAGTACAAAGGAGAGAGACACCGCAGTGACGGCGATGATGATGATGATGATACACGACTCCGCTGGCTCCTGACGTGGTTGTCTGCTTGCTTGACCACCTCAGTGTGAGACCGTCGCCGCTGTAGCTCCGCGTCTCCATCAGCAGCCGCACGACTAAAGCTCCGCCGCACGCCTTCGGGTCGTATCACTTCCTGAAGAAGCTCCCAGCACGTGGAGCGAAACGTCGGACACATCGTGCCGAACGACGCGCAGGACAGTGTTTAAACGTCAGCGCTGGGTCGACAAGAGGTGGCGTGCCGTGGTGCTGGCCACCCACCCCTTTCGTGTGCCGTGCCGGCCCTCGTAGGTGCTACTCGCTAACAGCACTTGCCCCAACAGTCTGTTAAGGCTACACGGGGGATCAACGTCAGCATTGGGGAGACAAAGGCGGCCGGGCATGGTGCTAGCCACCCACCCCCTCATTTGTCATGCTGTCCTTCGTTAGCCAGCACTTGCCTCAACAGTTTGTGTGACTACACGGGCGATCTTTGTCTCTGTCTGTCATATATGCGACGCATCGCGTGCTTTCAGATGCGCTACTGCGGCCGTCTGGAACGTTCTTCCTTCCGATATTAGGGAGCCACTGGGAGCTATGACAAACTAATTTCTTTAGAAGTGCTTTTTGCGGTTAGTTTGTGTCCTTCCCCCCCCCCCCCCCCGCCCTGGAACCTCCGATGAGCGCGGTTGGCTACGTACGGTGCGAAAGAAGTTTAACATCCACACAAACACCTCTACACATGAGAAACACTTTAATCTATACGCAACCCATTGGCCCCCAATGGCCTTCCGGAAGGGAATACTTTTCAGCAGCATTGATTCTACTAACTATTGACTTTTTTTATTTTACCAGGCAAGGCCCACTGAGCTTCACAGCTCTTTTTCCGAAGCGACCGGGCCACAAATGATAGCTCAACGAAGTGGCTCATCGTGTGGAAATTTATTGCAGCCAAACACTCTCAACGCACGTTTCTAAAAACTCCAAATATACAGCAGCAGGCATGAGGGTCCAGACCGAACCCATGACATCCTGCGTACGAGGCGAGGTCGTCAACATCTCTCCACCGTGGCACCCCGATTCGGTCCAAGCCAAACCCTTGACCGGTTTTAACAAACAGTATCTCATCAGCAGTGTGGTGTTTTTTTTTCGCGTGCGAACTCTGTGGGCAGGCGCCGGCGAAGGGCAACGCGAGCGAGTCGACCCCCGCGGCAGCGGCAAAGGCCCAGGCCCAGGCCCGGGCGAGCAAGAAGGCCAAGGGTGCCGCGTCGGCGATGGCGTGCAAGGTGGCGCTGCTGGATGGCGCGCAGTACGAGTGCGAGGTGGAGGTGAGGCCCCGCGTCCCCAGCGCCAATCCCCGCGAATGCCTCCCCCCCCCCCCCCCACATCGCCGCTTATCGCCATCACTCCATCCCACGTCTCTCTCCATCGCACGTCTCTCTCCATCCCCATCCCACGTCTCTCTCCATCGCACATCTGTGAGGGATCGTTTTCTGCCCCTGTGTGGAATCCTTTCCCGTCTCTGTGAGGAATTGTCGTGAGAGCCTACTCCCCGTTAAATTGGATGATGTCATTGAATGGTTGCCACCAAGTAACGTCCCCCGCAAGCCTTTAATCGCGTGCCGGGCTCAGGAGACAAACTCTTGGTGGGTTAACCACTTGCCAGTGGAAAGGAAGAAAGAGATCATGTGGTTTGTGATTGAACAAAAAATCCTCCACTCGATCACGCTCGGCAGCGGCATCTGGCGCGGCCCAATTAGCGCGGCTAGGCCGGGCCTCGGGGGAGGCCTTGCCCACCTGCTGCCCATCATGCCCTCATGTCGGCGGGTGGGGGGTTGGGGGGGTTGGGGTGTGAGTGGCCGTGCCGCGGTGCGCGCACCGCCTGCTAACGAGCGCCGGCATGAATCGTTCCCCTTGCTTGCACCGCCGCCGCCGCGGTGTGTGTGTGTGTGTGGTGGGGAGCGGTAGTGTAGCGGTTGGCGCGCTGCGCTCCGAACCTGGCGACCCGGGTTCGATTGCCGCTCACGGCCAACACCGGTGACGATTATTCGATCTCATTTACAGCGCCAGTTAATCGTCACTGGTGTTGGTTGTGAACGGGACTTAAACATCGGGTCCGCGGGTTCGTAGCGCACCACAGTGCTAACCGCTGCCGCTTCCCACGCACAACAACAACCGCCACTAAGTGGCGGTGACGTCACCACGGTGCTTGTGCCAGGCTAAGTGCACTTTTAAGGCCATGTGAAGTGTCGAACGCCCGCTGGCAGGAGGTCACGGGACAGACCCAGATGCTATAGCTTGACTGACTCGAGATGACTGGGCTGATGGCATTGAAGGCTTCACGAACTATGTGGTCGAAAAAGATGTTCAATAATGTGGGAGCCAGAGGACATCCCTATCACACCCCAAGGTGAACAGGGAATGGCTCAGACTCCTGGCCACGTAGTTTTACCCGGGCCTGCCCACCATCATGATTGTGAGCAGAGAGTCAAGGACTTAGAAAGCACGAAGAATAGACCAGAGCCCAGGTCTATTGATGGTATCATATTCCTTGACCAGGTCAATAAAGCAGAGATGTAGGTCCTGTTGGAATTGCCCACACTTCTGCTGATGCAGACGCACAGAAAATATTGCATCTGTGCATGACCGCCCTAGCCTGAAATCGCGTTTGGGCTCCGCAAGCTTCTCCTCAGCATGCCTGGACCTTTCCCGGCACACTGAGGAGGGAGATGCCCCTGTAGTTGTTACAGTCTGTGCGGTCCCCCTTCTTAAAGAAGGGGACCACTAGGGCATTCTTCTAATCCTGTGGAACCCATCCAGTGGTCCAGACCACTGCATCTGTGTCAGGTCATAGAAGGTATCTGACTCATGGGCCTTGCCTGCATCCCTCCACTGATGTTCATCGTCGGTGGGGGCATAAGTAACCACGACCACCACTCCTCGCCTCCGGTTGATGGGAAGGCGAGCCCCAAGTAGCCTGGGGCTGACAGCTTCCCACACCTCACCGCCACTTTCCTACGCCCCCTTCATTCTTTTGTTCAGAAAAATTGCCCCTTCCCTGTTATTTGACAGTAGAGGACTGTCCACCCCTCATGGTGAATATCGCAGAGATCCAGGTGGTACCGGTCCAGCTCCCGACAGAGGAGTGGCAGCCTCTCCACGTGGCGACTCGCAGTGGCTGTTTGCTGTTTCTGGAGGAACCCCGATGATAACGATTCAGTCTCCTGGCTCCGCCAAATGGGATTTTGCCAGGAGACATCATAGACGCCGGTCTCCCCGGGCCCTCCGACACAAGCTTCCTTTTGTATTTTGCACGTAGTTCAGTGGTAGTTGAATTGATGGTGGAGGGGTTACCAGCCCCTCGCGCACGGCCAGAGCCCCCATTTGGCCACTGTGGTGGCTACAAGCCCCATAGCCGATTTTGGAATTGGCCTTCCCTCCATGGCATTGCTCCCATCCATCACAGCGTTATCGTCCGGCACCACCAAGGAGGTTAGGGGGTTGTTTTTGCCGGACAATCATCTGTTTTACAGCGCCAATTCATCGTCACTGGTGTTGGTTGTCAGCGGGAATCGAGCATCAGGTCCGCCGGTTTGCAGCGCATCTCAGCGCTAACCTCTACACTGCCGCTTTTCACGTGCGCGCGCGGACATGCACGCACGCACACTGCCGCTCGCACGTGCTGGCCTAGTGTAATTTATTATTTTTATTATTTTATTACTTCCCTTCTACGTGACTTTACCGAAAGAACCAAGAAGATAGTGTAATATAACGCGAGCTAGTCTGATACGCAGCGCCGCCGCCGCTGTCGTTCGTGCCAATTGCATCTCTCGCAGGCGGTGAGGAGCCGGCGCTACCGACAATCGTTTATAACTGGCGCTGTAAATCTTGGGAGGACGTGTCACGTGAACGGGAGGGGCTCGCGATCTCGCCGTCTTTACTCGTAGACACCGAAGTGGCTCGGAGATGTTAACTCCCTCGCCTGGTGTACAGGAGGCCGTGGGTTCGATACCGACCCTGACGCCTGCTGTATATTTTGAGTTTGCGTGTCTCTCTCCCCGTGGTCGCGTGGATTTTTTCCCTCCACATTTAGAATCAACGTGACGCGTTGGGAATATTTGACTGTTACTATAAATCTCCACGTAACGATAAGCCACTTCGTTGAGCTATCGTTTGGGATGGCCAGGTCGCTTGTGAGAAAATAGCTACCTAGCAGCTCAGTGGGGCCTTGTCTGGTGAAATGAAAATGTAGTTTATAGTTTTATTGTCACTCGATGTGCATTTGCTGTCGGCCCGTACGTTGTCGCTGCGTTTGTGGACTCGTTTTGAGCTGTGTCAGCCCAACGTCCTAAACGATCTAAATTGAAAACTATTTTTTTTTACTACTTTTCATGTTTAGTTTGTTGTCCTTCCCCCTGCACGTCCGATTCGGCACGGTTGGCTACGTACGACGCAAAAGAAGTTCAACAACAACAACCGCCATTCGCCACTAAGTGGCGGTGACGTCACCACGATGCTTGTGCCAGGCCAAGTGCACCTTGAGGCCACGTGAAGTGTCGAACGCCCGCTGGCAGGAGGTCACGGGGCAGACCCAGGTGCCACGGGTCGACTGACCGAGATGACCGAGATGACTGGCTGATGCACCACCTGTGCCCCCTACTGTACCAACTTGCTGTGCTTTAGCCACCCGGCGCTCCGCTCGTTGTTGTGAGCGTCGCTCCTCCGCCCTCCGTTGTTGTTGGAGGGCGACTGCTTCCAACTGCCCAGTAGCGTCCTTCACGAGCCTCCTCCACTTAGGCCGATCTTGACACCGCTGGTACCAGTCATCGGCAAGTCCACTCAGCTCCACGTCCTCCTGTACCACATCACTCCATCTCTTCTCCAGCCCGTGCCGCGCCCGTCTAGCCCCCTCGATCCGGCCGAACAAAAGCTGTTTAGGCATGCGGTGGCTGGGCATGCGGGCTACATGACCCAGCCAACGCAGCCTTGCCTGCCGGAGGAGCTCACCGATGGGACTTTGCCCAGATCTTTCAAGGATTTGTGAGCTCCTCACACAATCCAGCCTGGTTAAACCCAGGATGGATCGTAGGCAGGCCAGCCTAAAAGTTTCCAACCGGCGAAGATGCTCCACTAGGGGGGTCCACGTTTCGCAAGCGTAGAGAAGGGAGGGAATGACCGTGGCCGAGAATACCTGAAGCTTCGTGCGGAGCGACAGACCAGGTCGCTTCCACACAGCGATACGCAACCGATGAAAAGATATTGCCGCTCGACTGATTCGGAGTGAGACCTCTGCTGATAAACTGGAGCCGGTCATAAGCACACTGCCCAGGTATGGGAAACTCTCCACTCTCTCCACAACTGCCCCATCACTAATTGGGAGTTGTGGGGGTGGAGTGTCCGATGGTACAAAATACCCAGGCAGGTGCTTAGTTTTGGTGGGGCTGATGGTAAGGCCCCACCTCTTAGTGGCACACTCCAGTCTCAGCAGCAGCGTCTCCAACTCCTCTTCTGAATGAGCAGCTATTACCAAATCATCGGCATACATAACGTGGTTGACCAATAGGGAGCCATCCCTTGATCGCACCCGGGCATCGATCAGCCTCCCATTATATCTGTACCAAATGGAGTTCAACACACATACACACACATACACACACATACACAAACGTACATACACACACATACACACACATCCGCTTCCACAATAACTGGTGCCACTTTGACCAAATCCTGACACGTCTCCTCGGGCCACTGAGCTGCATCCTTCCCAGAATGAAAGTCATTCAAAACATTCCTCTTCTTCTTCCCTTATCCAGCATCAGGCACGTGGTGGTGGTGTGGTGGTGTTGGTGATTTGGTGATGTGGTGGTGGGGGTGATGATGTGGTGGTGGTGATGTTGCCTGGTCCGTAGCCAGTCTATGGGTCTCTGTGTGAGTCTATGGGTCTCTGTGTTAGGCTATGGGTATTTGTGTGAGTCTGTCTCTGTGTGAGTCTATGGGTCTCTGTATGAGTCTTTGGGTCTTTGTGTGAGTCTGTGGTTCTCTGTGCGGGTCTATGTGTCTCTGTGTGAGTCTTTGGGTCTCTGTGGGTGTCTATGGGTCTCTGTGTGAGTCTTTGGGTCTCTGTGTGAGTCTATGGGTCCCTGTATGAGTCTTTGGGTCTTTGTGTGAGTCTGTGGTTCTCTGTGTGGGTCTATGTGTCTCTGTGTGAGTCTTTGGGTCTCTGTGGGTGTCTATGGGTCTCTGTGTGAGTCTTTTGGTCTCTGTGGGAGTCTATGGGTCTCTGTGTGAGTCAATGTGTCTTTGTGTCAGTCTATGGGTCTCTGTGTGAGTCTGTGTCTCTGTGTGAGTCTATGGGTATTTGTGTGAGTCTGTGTCTCTGTACGAGTCTTTGTGTCTCTGTGTGAGTCTATGGGTCTCTGTGTGCGTCAGTGTCTTTGTGTCAGTCTATGGGTATTTGTGTGAGTCTGTGTCTCTGTGTGAGTCTTTGTGTCTCTGTGTGAGTCTGTGTCTCTGTATGAGTCTTTGTGTCTCTGTGTGAGTCTATGGGTCTCTGTGTGAGTCAGTGTCTTTGTGTCAGTCTATGGGTATTTGTGTGAGTCTGTGTCTCTGTATGAGTCTTTGTGTCTCTGTGTGAGTCTATGGGTCAGTCAGTGTGTGAATCTAAGAACAAATGGGATGAGACTGTCAGGGAAGATGTTTGAGGTCACTGTGTGTCTCCTGTGCAGCAGCTGTGGGGTCTGGCAGAGGGTGGAACACAACGCCAATGAGGTGGTGGTGGAGGTGGTCGAGGTGTTTATGTTGGAGGTGGTTTGCTTAACGGTTCCGGACATGACGACGTTTCGATCTTGAATGCACGTGACCATGATCGTGCGCGCTGCCCCCTTGCTGCCCCCTTGCCGGCCCCTTGCGTTTGGCTGTGGCGTGAGCAGAAGCACTCTAAGGGGCAGGTGCTCTTCGACAAAGTGTGCGACCACCTCAACCTCCTGGAGAAGGACTACTTCGGCCTGGCCTTCCAGGATGCCCACGACCACAAGGTGAGGGCATCGCCGGCCGTCTCGGTTCACGACCTCTCTACGTTACCGTCGCCACGGGGAAGGAGGAGTACGTACGTGTGTACGTTGAACGTCTTCCGTACCACCACCGTACTTAGCCAACCGCGCTAATCGTAGATGCGGGGGAAGGACAACAAACTAAACACTAAAAGCAGCTGTAAAGAAATGTGTTTGACAATCGCGATGACGATTTTAAAGTGCATCGGAAGGAACAGCGTCCTAGACGGCCGCAGAAGCGCATCTGAAAGCGCCACGCGATGCGGTTGACCGTCTTTGTTCGATGGCTAGCCAAAAGCTGCTGCTGCTGCTGCTGCTGCGAGGATGAGTGGAGTTTGCATGACGATGGTTTATGCTCCTTGACGAGATCGGCAAGGTATTGTGGTTCATTTATGTTAAGCGCTTTGTGTGTAATGAGTTCGGCCTTATGACGTATTCGTCCGACAAACCGGAAGCCAGTGCAGCTTGAGCACCGGACAGAAAGGAGGAGGAGGCCACGTGGTGGGTCAGAGGTCAGAGTGCCGGGCTGCCACCACTGACAACCCTGGGTTCGAACCCGCAGCACGGCTCGATGATTATATCTTGACTCTGGGCTGTGGCTCAACTTCCCTAAACCATGTTGGCTTCACACCAATCATTATTATTGTCATTGTTGCTGTGCTCAAGTGAAGCAACAGTAGTTGTTGTTCGTACATAACGGTAGTACCCGCAGAAAACCCACGCGTGTGAGCGGGGAGGTAACTAAAATGAAAACAAAACTCACCAATGTTATTTACCAGGTAAAGTCCTCTGAAGTTACACGGCCACACATGATAGCCCAACGAAGTGACTTATCGCGTGGAAATGTATCGCGGCCAAATAATCTAGAAATGCATGGTTGATTGTAAATGTGAAGGAAACTGCAGAAAAATCCACGTGACCATGGGTAGAACATGCAAACTCAAACATATAACAGGGTCAGGGTTGGGATCCTACCCACGACCTCCTGTATACCAGGTGAAGGAGACGCAACATCTCCCAGCCACCGCGGCGAGATGGTGTTTGCTCAGCCCACAATCCCTCTTGGGTCGATAAAATGAGCATCGCTTTGTGGGTAAGTGCCGCTGTGCGTGGTGTTGCGTTTGTCCGCCACAGTGCCGTGCGGTCTGTCGATTTTTCCTTGTTCCCACGGGTTGAATCTTCATCTCTTGTTCTCTGTCACTTTGCAGAATTGGTTGGATCCTGCCAAGGATATTAAAAAGCAGGTCGGAAGTAAGTTTCACTTTGCCACATTCTCACTCTTGGGGGGGGCTGGTTGGGGGGCCAGTGGGGCGTGGGGGGGCCGGTGGGGCGATGGTTACCGTGTGGCTTGGTGGCAGAGCGATCGGAAGGTCGTGGGTTCACATCCTACTATTGAGTTGGCTCAACCCCATAGTCCCTCTGGGGTCGATAACATTCAGCATCACTGTGTGGGTAAATGAACAGTGATTGGCCCACCTCCTGGCTCTACAGGGCTGTAAGCGGAAGATGAAGTGTCGCCTCGGTGCTCACTCGAGCCCGTGGGAGGTTGATTAGAATCCCCGTCAGGGGCGGGACGCAGCAGCCAGGAACCCAGGAGACACTTTCACGGTTTCCACCGAGGCTGAAAGCACGAACGCTTTAGCGCCGCCCGCCCGACACTACCGTCTGTCGGTCTGTCTGTGTCCGTCGGTCCATCCGTCTGCGATGGGGAGGCCACGGACGATAACTCAAGCGGAGGCGATCCGGCCCGTAGCGTGGCGTCGTCGCTGTTTGGTGCCGCGCCCTGGAAAGCGGTTGCTGCCCAATAGACGCGAGCGGACAAACCAGCGCAGCATGGACTTCAGAATCCGAGTCTTCGTTTATCTCCAGAGAAAATCCGATGAGCCGCAAAGCTCTTTATCACAGATATCCAGTAACGGCCAGGGGGTCAGAGAGTTACAACAAACAATGTTCGCGATCGAAACCCAAACAACCTCTTGTGGATAATATTGGTCACGAAAGCCGACTACATGTTAAACTTACCTGCCCTCTGTTAGTCCGCTGCTGGATTAAAGATATCTCCGCCTGCCCGCCTCGCTACCGTGTGGGGTTGTTGTTTGACCATACTTCACCACGCTGGTCAGTGCGGGTTGGGCAGATGGGCGGTGGCTGGCGGTTTGGTCCGTGGAAGTGGCGAGGGCCGGTTCCGTTAACCCCCGCGCCAATGATATTAGCGGTCGCCAGGTAAACGAACTCAGGGTGGTCACGTTCATCGCGCAGTGCCGATAACCGCTGCCCGACCACCCCCCCACCGTGAAGGATTCTTCACGCGTTTACGTCACGAAATCCAGAAGACATTGAAGACAGCTTCCACAGGGCGCTCTCGTCAATGGCACGTGGCAATGAGTTTACGCGTTTGCTTCCAGCAATCGCACGCTGTGTGGTTCTGTTAATCTGGAGAGCCAGGAGTGTGATGGGCTCACACGAATGTTTATTTGTGTGTGGAGATGTGCTTACATTTACCCATGATGCACTGCAGCAATGCACATGCGGGTTTGTGTATAGCAGACAGGCGAGGGTGGTGGCTGGGATTATAATTACCCATGATGCACGGCAGCACCATACACCACGGAAAGAGGGAATACCGTAATCAAATGTTAATAATGAGGGAATGCCGTCAGCTAATTACAATAACGAGGGAATAACGTGATCTAAGTATACTAATGAAGGAATGACAATCGAATTATAGTAACGAGGGAATACCGTAATCAAATTATTGGAATGAGGGAATGATGTAAGATAACTCCAATAACGAGGCAATACTGCAATCTAACAATAAGAATGAGGTATTGATGTAATCTAATTACAATAACCAGGGAAATCCGTAATCTAATTATAGTAATGGGGGGGGGGGGGGGATACCGTAATATGATTATAGTAATGAGGGATTACCATAATCTAATTATACTCTTTGGTTCTTTCGGTAAAGTCACGTGGGTATAAAATAAAATAAATTGCGACGTTTCGGGCGCAACACAAGCGTCCGTCATACCTAGGTGACTTTACCGAAAGAACCAAAGAGTATGGATTCCTGCAGTCACGAAATATTCAAATCAAAATCTAATAATATTTAGCAGAGAATGCCGTAATCTAATTTTAATAACGAGCGAATACCGCAATTTAATTATAATAACGAAGGAATACCGTAATCTAATGCATAGCCACGTTCCCAAACGGGACACATTTTTTCTGCATCCATGCCGCCTTCCACCGGTCACTTTGTGAGTCTTAGCAATTAACCCGAGAAACTAACGCCCCCACAAGTCGCACGCGGTTGTGTTAGCTCGTTAAAGTGTGTCCTCCCAAAAGTAATCCCCTCACAAATTATTTATGGATATATATTCGTTAAGAGGTGGCAGTGGCTTGGGGAGGAAGGCCTTCATCAAGCAGTGGATTGACCATGATGTCATATCTGTACATATAAACGGGGATTCATTTCTCACTGAATAATCTTTACGGGTCCCCATGAGACCTGGGGAGGAGGCTCTCATCTGGTAGCCAGAGTGAGAGGTCTGCTGGATGTGGCGGGCCGGGTGAAGGAAATATTTTTTAGATTCACCCCACCCCCCCCACACAGAGCCAGCTTGCCCATGGGATTTTATTCGAAAACTCCGTGGTCATTAACAACAATGATGGAACAAAACTACGTAGTACACCGCGAGACAGATGGGGCAACACAGAGACGGGAGAACACACACACAACGAAAAGCCAATCACACAGATCACTTCAGCAATTGGGCTCGGCCCTCATGGGCAGGGCCCGGCTGCACGTGAAGCAGGCTGCTGGGTTGCCGCATGTCATTGGCAGGAGCACTCCGTCTCAACCGGTACTGTGTTTGTTTCCTTCAGAAAATACTGCTGCTGGTTGGCATTATTGGTCTAATGAGACCGGTGGATGAATATAATATTTGTGTCTATGACGCAAAACGGGGGTTCTGCCGATGTTTGCTTTTACCCACAATGCTCCGCGGCACGGTGCACTGCGCCCGTGCGATTGGCCGTGGCCGACTCTAACCGTCGCCGCTGCCACTTCTGCCCCCTCCGCTCTCCTCGTGTCTGCCAGATGGGCCGTGGGCGTTTTCCTTCAATGTGAAGTTCTATCCGCCGGACCCGTCGCAGCTCACGGAGGACATCACTAGGTAGGCGAGCGGCGGTGGTGGTGGTGGCACACGGGCAGTGCCGTGGTGGCTCGCTGCGCGACAGCAAAAAATCGCACGGTGTGACATCGTCATGTCGCGGTGTGACCATCATTTAGCGGCAGTGGCGCGTGCGGCATTGCCGGAGCTGCCCCTTCACAATTATTACCCGATAAAGTATTTCGGAAAAAACAATCGCAAATTTTTTATGATCCGTAAAATCTGCGCGCTTTTTGCACAACGTGTTTTGTCCGGAGTCACGGGCAGCCAACGGCCGTCGTGCGCCGCAGGGACTTTGGTGGTCAACGTGCAACCCGCTTCTTGCGTGGCGGACGGCGCACGCGAGCGTTGTGGTCGCCGACGCGTGTGCGGGTCCTAACGATCGCGAGGCTCGGACCGGGCTCACTTGGAGTCCTCGACTTGGGGAACGGGTTACACATTCCTGAGAGCCGTTCGTAAGTCGGGTTGTGTTCGCATGTCGGAACTCAATCGTTCATTGTACGTTCGGTCAGTATTTAAAAATGTCCTACAGTTCAACGAAAAAGGGCAGCAATGTTAAACTCATGAATAAGAAATATTGTGCATTTGCATGTAATAATACATAAATACTGGATAGTAAATGAAACATAAAATAAAGTAATGTCGAAAGAATAAAATTCTGTTTTATTTTCACTTAACTTGAGTCGAACGATTCACTGTCGCGCATCGTGCGGGAATGCTGGGACTCATTACATCTCGCCGAGGATTGCTCCGCGCAACAAAATAGTTCCGCGGATCGGTTCGTGAGTACGTCTCAACGGCGGTTCGTTCGTAAGTGTGGACGTTTCTAAGTCGGGCGTTCGTAGGTGCTGATGCCGTTCTATTCCCCCTCCCCCCCTTCTCTCTCCCTCCCCCCTCATCCCTCCCCTCTGCCCTGTACCTCCTGTGCCCCCCACTCCCCCTCTCCCTCTCATCCAACCCTCCCTCTCTTCCCCCACCTCCCCCCTCCCTCCTCCCCTCCCCTCCAACCCCCACCCCCCCGCCCCAGGTACTACGTGTGCCTGCAGCTGCGTCAGGACGTGTCGTCGGGGCGGCTGCCGTGCTCGTTTGTGACGCTGGCGCTGCTGGGCTCCTACGCGCTGCAGGCCGAGCTGGGCGACCACGAGGCCGATGAGCACGGCGCCGACTATGTGGCCTCCTCGGGCTTCCGCTTCGCGCCGGCGCACTCCCACGAGCTGCTCGAGAAGATCGCCGAGCTGCACAAGACCCACCGGTGTGTGCGCCGCGCTCCTTGCCATGCAACGCTCATCACCGCCCCACCACACTCACAGAGTCGGTGGGTCCCAGTGTCTCACCACCCACTCCCACCCCACGTGTCTAACCACTCACCCCCATCCCCGTGTCTAACCACCCACCCCACCACGTGTCTCACCACCCACCCCACCACGTGTCTCACCACCCACCCCACCACGTGTCTCACCACCCACCCCACCACGTGTCTCACCACCCACCCCACCACGTGTCTCACCACCCACCCCACCCACCCCACCCCCGTGTCTCACCACCCACCCCCACCCCCGTGTCTAACCACCCACCCCACCACGTGTCTCACCACCCACCCCACCCACCCCACCCCCGTGTCTAACCACCCACCCCACCACGTGTCTCACCACCCACCCCCACCCCCGTGTCTCACCACCCACCCCCACCCCCGTGTCTAACCACCCACCCCACCACGTGTCTCACCACCCACCCCACCCACCCCACCCCCGTGTCTCACCACCCACCCCCACCCCCGTGTCTAACCACCCACCCCACCACGTGTCTCACCACCCACCCCACCCACCCCACCCCCGTGTCTAACCACCCACCCCACCACGTGTCTCACCACCCACCCCCACCCCCGTGTCTAACCACCCACCCACCACGTGTCTCACCACCCACCCCACCCCACGTGTCTCACCACCCACCCCCACCCCCGTGTCTAACCACCCACCCCACCACGTGTCTCACCACCCACCCCACCCACCCCACCCCCGTGTCTAACCACCCACCCCACCACGTGTCTCACCACTCAACCCCACCCCCGTGTCTAACCACCCACCCCACCCACCCCACCACGTGTCTCACCACCCACCCCACCCCCGTGTCCCACCACCCACCCCACCCCCGTGTCTCACCACCCACCCCACCCACCCCACCACGTGTCTCACCACCCACCCCACCACGTGTCTCACCACCCACCCCACCCCCGTGTCTCACCACCCACCCCACCCCCGTGTCTCACCACCCACCCACCACGTGTCTCACCACCCACCCCACCACGTGTCTCACCACCCACCCCACCACGTGTCTCACCACCCACCCCACCACGTGTCTCACCACCCCCCCCCACCCCCGTGTCCCACCACCCACCCCACCACGTGTCTCACCACCCACCCCACCCCCGTGTCTCACCACCCACCCCACCCCCGTGTCTCACCACCCACCCCACCCCCGTGTCTCACCACCCACCCCACCACGTGTCTCACCACCCACCCCACCACGTGTCTCACCACCCACCCCACCCCCGTGTCCCACCACCCACCCCACCACGTGTCTCACCACCCACCCCACCACGTGTCTCACCACCCACCCCACCACGTGTCTCACCACCCACCCCACCCCCGTATCTCACCACCCACCCCACCCCCGTGTCTCACCACCCACCCCACCCCCGTGTCTCACCACCCACCCCACCCCCGTGTCTCACCACCCACCCCACCCCCGTGTCTCACCACCCACCCCACCCCCGTGTCTCACCACCCACCCCACCCCCGTGTCTCACCACCCACCCCACCCCCGTGTCTCACCACCCACCCCACCCCCGTGTCTCACCACCCACCCCACCACGTGTCTCACCACCCACCCCACCACGTGTCTCACCACCCACCCCACCCCCGTGTCTCACCACCCACCCCACCACGTGTCTCACCACCCACCCCACCCCCGTGTCTCACCACCCCCCCCACCACGTGTCTCACCACCCACCCCACCCCCGTGTCTCACCACCCCCCCCACCACGTGTCTCACCACCCACTCCATCCCCGTGTCTAACCACCCCCCCCACCCCCGTGTCTCACCACCCCCCCCACCCCCGTGTCTCACCACCCACCCCACCACGTGTCTCACCACCCACCCCACCCACCCCACCCCAGTGTCTCACCACCCACCCCACCCCCGTCTCTCACCACCCACCCCACCCCCGTGTCTCACCACCCACCCCACCCCCGTGTTTCACCACCCACCCCACCCACCCCACCCCCGTGTCTCACCACCCACCCCACCCCCGTGTTTCACCACCCACCCCACCCACCCCACCCCCGTGTCTCACCACCCACCCCACCCCCGTCTCTCACCACCCACCCCACCACCGTGTCTCACCACCCACCCCACCCCCGTGTTTCACCACCCACCCCACCCACCCCACCCCCGTGTCTCACCACCCACCCCACCCCCGTCTCTCACCACCCACCCCACCCCGTGTTTCACCACCCACCCCACCCACCCCACCCCCGTGTCTCACCACCCACCCCACCCACCCCACCCCCGTGTCTCACCACCCACCCCACCACGTGTCTCACCACCCACCCCACCCCCGTGTCTCACCACCCACCCCACCCCCGTGTTTCACCACCCACCCCACCCACCCCACCCCCGTGTCTCACCACCCACCCCACCCCCGTGTCTCACCACCCACCCCACCACGTGTCTCACCACCCACCCCCACCACGTGTCTCACCACCCACCCCACCCCCGTGTCTCACCACCCACCCCACCACGTGTCTCACCACCCACCCCACCACGTGTCTCACCACCCACCCCACCACGTGTCTCACCACCCACCCCACCACGTGTCTCACCACCCACCCCACCCCCGTGTCTCACCACCCACCCCACCCCCAGTGTCTGTGAACCTCAGGGGACAAACCCCGGCTGAGGCTGAGCGCCACTTCCTGGAGAACGCCAAGAAGCTGTCCATGTACGGCGTGGACCTGCACCAGGCCAAGGCGAGTCACCGCCACCACCGTCCGTTGTTTGTTTTGGCTTCCCGCTGCCGGGCAGAGCCGCCTCCTCCTCCTCCTGCCCCTCGCAATTCTCCTCCGTTCCCTCCTGTAGCTGGCTTCGTTGGGATGAACACGCAGTCGTACGCCGTCTGCAGCGAGAGTAACGCCCGCCAACTTTGGTGGTGGGCGCTTCGTAATCTGCGTCGCCAGGAACAGTCCCCCAGCCACCGCCTTTGTCTTCGCAAATGCGATGCCTCCACACTCCTCTGCCGCCCCCCTGCCCGCCCCCCCCCCCCCAGCTACCACCAGGCCTACCCCAACAAGCCCTCCTGAACGCCGCCCGCGCCTGTTCCGCTCCCACTAGGATTACGCCACCGCGTCTAAAACCACGGTGGTCGTGCGTACAATTTCACCATCGCCGTGGCGGCAACTTGGGGAGGCGATGATTATGCGAATGTCGGTAAGGTGAGATTGAGTCACGATCGTCGATCCGGACAGGGGACTCGGCGGCGGCTGGGCGATCGGCTCGCAATAGGAAAGGTTGCAAGCAAAGCTCCAGGTTTACCGAGCGTCGTTGAGGTTTCCGTGGAGGGAAAAACCAGAGGACCCGGAAAAAAACGCCATATTTAGAATCAACACGCGTTTAGAGTATTTGGTTGCTGAGATGTGATGATGAGCCTCTTTGTTGAGCGATCATTTGTGTTGGCCAGGGCGCTTCTGAAAAAGAGCTGTATAGTAGCTCAGTGGGGCCTTACCTGGTAAAAAAATAACAGTGAACAGGAGTCAAGAGTTCAGACTCGGCTTGTGCCGAGCAGCACGCGGCACCGCCAGCAAACACCGCCAGGGCCGTCGCTTCGCGCCACAGGAACGTGGAAATGTCCCCACTGGGTTGTAAACGGCGGACGAGCAGCGCCCGGCTCCCTGGACACTCGACGCGGTACGGTGCGACGCGACACGGTGCAGTGTGGTGCGGTGTGGTGCGGTGCGGTGTGGTGCGGTGCGCCGTCGCGTGCCCAACATCTCTGAGCTGCTGCTCAGCCTCATCGAGACCGCCGGCTCATCGGAGATGCATTGCGAGTCGCCGTGCGGTCGCTGACGCCACCGGCTCCAGGGAGCTGTTGGGGTTATTGTGGTAACACAAAAGCTCGAGTTCGTATGTTTCAGGAAGCCAACAACCGCGCCACTGCGGCGTGGAGACGCGCGCGACGAGACGGGGCGGGTGGCCGTTGGACGTTGGCGTAACTGCGATGGGGGGTTTGGCGGGGGGGCGGTTGTCTGACGCGTGCAGGACTCGGAGGGGGTGGACATCACGCTGGGCGTCTGCTCGAGCGGCCTGCTCGTCTACAAGGACCGTCTGCGCATCAACCGCTTCCCCTGGCCCAAGATCCTCAAGATTTCCTACAAGCGCAGCAACTTCTACATCAAGATCCGGCCGGGAGAGGTGAGCGGGACGGGCGGTGGCAGCGCTGCCGCTCACACGCGTGGCACCTCCGCTCCGGTACTGTGGATGCAGCAGCAGCGGCGGCAGTAGCGGCGGCAGTAGCGGCGACAGTAGCGGCAGCAGTGGCAGTGGCAGCAGCAGAAACAGGCAGTAGCAGCAGTAGCAGCAGTAGCAACAGCAGCGGCAGTGGCAGCAGCAGCAGTAGCAGCGAGGGTCAGTGGACCGCCGCACGATCGTCGTGATGCTCCGCTTGCCATGGGCGTCGAGGAGGAGCCGTGCTCCCTGGCTCTGCCAGGAGAAGGTGGGACAGCCAAATAATGTTCCTTCCCCCGCACCTCCAACTAGCACGGTTGGCTTCCTTACGCTGTGCGAAAGAAGTCCAACATACGTACACACGTATGATCGCCCCATCTGTTCCAGCCGTGCGGGATAGAGCGTTGCCACCTCGCACTTGGGCGCTCCGGTTTCCGTCCACGCGTATAAACGACTCGTTCGCACCTCCGATTAGCACGGTTGGCAACGTACGCTGTGCGAAAGAAATTCGACGTACACGCGCCCCCATTAATTGGCCTGTAGCCCGGCCTGCAGCCTGCAGGCCAGCCCGGCCTTTAGCACGGCACCGTGCAGGCAGTCAGAGTTGGTGCATTGCACAGAGCAGAAGACCTCCTTTTTCTGCTCTGCCCATGACCGACTGCCTACCTCTCTCCCGCAGACTCACGTAGAGAACCATAGACTCACATAGAGACCCATATCCACACACAGAGATGCACAGACACGCACGGCGACATGTGACTGATTGCCTCCCTCTCTCTTTCTGTACGATTACTGGACATCTTTGAAAAAGAGCTTCATAGCTCATCGGATTCCTCCGGTCTAAATAAAGATTCTGATTCTCTCCCGCTCGCGCTCGCTCAGCTCGACCAGTTTGAGAGCACCATCGGCTTCAAGCTGCCCAACCACCGCGCCGCCAAACGCCTCTGGAAGGTGTGCGTGGAGCACCACACCTTCTTCCGGTGAGGCCCGCATGCACGCACACAGACGCACACATGCAGACGCACGCAGACGCATGCACACACACAGAGACGATGGCGCCTCGACACGGAACTCAGACGTGGGGGGGGGGGGGGTCTCAGACGTCTGAACAGCTGGCCAGACTCTCCTTTTTGCCAACGCACACTGACCAGAGTGGTGAATTATGATTTAAAAAAAAAAACTGCCCATGGCTGACCACGGCATAAGGGGCGGGGGGGGAGTCCTTCGTCACACAGCAGCGCGTTGACCTGGGGCTAAAATAAACGAACGTAAATGATTGTGAGGTGGCCTGCAACACTCACCTGGGGCATCGTCGTCGTCAGCACCACCTCCTCCTCAAAGACCCAACGCAGAAGACCCCTTGGGTGTGATCTTCCACGAAACTGCTCACGATCCACGCCTGTGCTCATCCAGAACGTACCGTAGCGACGTGTAACGACGCAACGCCCCGATCCACAAGTCCGAAGGAGAGAGACATTGCAGTGACGATGATGACGACGACGACGAAGATGATGACGACGATGATGATGACGATGATGACACACGACTCCGCTTGCTCCTTGACGTGGCTGTCTGCTTGCTCGACCGCCTCCATGTGAGACCGTCACCGCTGTTGCTCCACGTCTCCGTCAGCAGCCGCACGACGACAAGAAGAAGGAGAAAACCTCCTCCTGCCCCTCCTTCCCATGCTCCCCTCCCTCCTCATCTTCCTCCCCCTGCAACTCCTCCTCCTCCTCCACCCCTCCTCGCCCTCGGCCCCCTCCTCCTGTCCCCTGCTCCTCCTCCTGTCCCCTGCTCCTGCTCTCCCTGCTCGTCCTTCACCCCCCCCCCCCCTCTTCGTTCTCCCTCCCGATGGGCAGTGAGGAGGGCAGGCCCCGGGACGCCGTGACCTGGGCGCTCGTGGCTGCTGCCCTGGCTGCTCCTGGAGCTGCTTGTTGCTGTTGATCGGTCTGTTGTTGTTGGCGTTAATGATTGGTGTATTGTTGGTGAGCGGTGTGTGTGTCGTGTTGTTATTGATCTGTGTGTTGCTGTTGATCAGTGTTGCTGTTGATCGGTCTTGTTGTTATTATGGATCTGTGTGTTGCTATTATTGTTATTGTTTATCGTTGTTGTTATTATTGTTTGGCGTGTTGTTGTCGTTGTTGACCGTTGTTGTTGTCGTTGTTGTCGTCGCCGCGTCACCGCCAGGCTGGTGACCCCGGAGCCGGCGCCCAAGGGCCGCTTCCTCACGCTGGGCTCGCGCTTCCGCTACTCGGGGCGCACGCAGGCGCAGACGCGCGCCGCCAGCTCGCAGATCGACCGCCCCGCGCCACACTTCACTCGCTCCGCCAGCAAGCGCTACACCGTGTCCAGCTCGCTCGACGGAGGTGATGCGCGCGAGCGGGTGGATGGGTGGATGGGCGGGTGGGTGGGCGGGCGGGCGGGTGGGTGGGCGGGCGACGGAACGAGCGGGCGGGCGGGCTATACCTCCTCTTCCACCGGCGCTCTGGACACTTTGGCCCATCGCAGGCGTCTTGCTGGACACCTCCCCCCGCTCTCCTACCCTCGTTTCTCCCATATCTGTTTCAAACTAACCCCCCCATGTATATATGTGTGTGTGTGTTTGTTAAACATCTTTTGCACACGTGAAGTGTCGAAGGCTCTGCTGGCAGTCTCGCGCTCAGCACGCGAGTAGAGTTTGAAAGTGAACGTGAATGTAGTTTGCTTAACACGCATTAGGCTTTCGCGACCAATATTATCCATAATCGAGGTTTTTGGGTTCGATCGCATAAATATATAAATGTGTTGGAGAAACTGATTGTGTTTGACAATCACTAAACGGCGATTGTGTTTGACAATCACTAAACGGCGATTGTGTTTGACAATCACTAAACGGCGATTGTGTTTGACAATCACTAAACGGCGATTGTGTTTGACAATCACTAAACGGCGATTGTGTTTGACAATCACTAAACGGCGATTGTGTTTGACAATCACTAAACGGCGATTGTGTTTGACAATCACTAAACGGCGAGTGTGTTTTACTATCACTAAACGGCGAGTGTGTTTTACTATCACTAAACGGCGATTGTGTTTGACAATCACTAAACGGCGATTGTGTTTTTGTCTCTCACCGATGTCGTTGCCAGCGCCGGGCGGGGGCAGCCAGGACGGCTCCTCGTGGGGTCTCGACGACGAGCCTCCGCCCCCCACCGCTGACCCCCGCAACTCCGTGGGGGGCGAGCGCCACGCCGTCAACTCCGTCGCCGCCGTCACCACCGTCACCGCCACAACTGTGACCGGCGGGGCCGCCCTCGCCGCGACGGCGGGCGGGAACGTCGCCGATCGGGCGGAGAAGACGGACGGCGGTAACGACGGCGGCGGCGACGACGTTGTTGGCGGCGGCGTCGGCCGTGACGACGACAACAAAGAGGAAACCTCCGTCCAGAGCTCGGAGGCGCAGGGGGAGGAGGTGAAGGTGAGGGGAGCTCCTTCAACGCCGCCGCCGCCACCGATCGCCGGCAGAACCGAGTTTGGCCGATGCTTGCCTTGAGCCGCACCGCTGCGGGGGCAGCGCACGCCGACTTCGCTGCAATATCGAATTCTATTTGTTAGCGTTAAATGCAGAGTGCCCTCGACAAATGACCGCGTGGCGTTCGTTGTGGGAAGAACCGAGTTTGCCGATGAGACCCGGAAGGTTGAAACCCCGAGTTTTGGTTGCCGTTGAACCAACACTGGTGACGGGGCGAGCTCCCAGGAGGCCGTGTGGCCGCCGGGTCGTCGCGCCAATTAACACATACAACTGGAGAGACAAACGTGGGGAAGGGAGATTTATTCATTTTGAGGGAGTCCAAGCCTCCATGTTTCGTTGTACAAAACATCACTTGCACATTCAAATACCACGGTGGCTAGAAGATGTTGACTGCCTCGCCTGTTATACAGGAGGTCGTGGGTTTGATTTCGACCCTTGACACCTGCTGCTGTATATTTGCAGTTTGCGGTGTCTCTCTCTCTCCCTGTGGTCACATACATTTTTTCTCCGGGTCCTTCGGTTTTTCACATCTACATTTATAATCAACGTCACACGTTCAGAATATTTGGCAGCTGCTATAAATTTCCACTCGATTATGATGACGATGATGATAATAGTCCACTTCGTTGGGCTATCATTTGTGTACAGCCAGGTCAAGGCTTCTGAAAAAGAGCTGCACAGCTCAATGGGGCCTTACCTGCTCAAATGAATTACAAGTAGTTTTAGATAGTTACTAGAGCCGACAAAAATGTGCTTCTAGATCCTCCGCCATTCTCCCCCCCACGCTCACCCCCGCGTGCCCGCCCCCTTGCCCCTGTAGAGCACAGAGATCGTCGTCATCATCATCGTCATCAACGTCATCATCGTCGTCGTCGTCATGGTCGTCATCGTCATCATCGTTGTCATCATCGTCGTCATCGTCGTCATCGTCGTCATCATCATCGTCGTCATCATCGTCGTCATCATCGTCGTCGTCATCATCGTCATCGTCGTCGTCGTCATCGTCGTCATCGTCATCATCGTCGTCATCATCGTCATCACCGTCATCATCGTCATCATCGTCATCACCTTGGTTTGCCCATTCCAGTCGACGTCCCCTGTGCCGTGTCCGTTTTGCGCCGCGGTTCTTTTTGCTTTGCTTTTGTTTGTGTATTTATCATTTGCATTCCTCCCCTCCCTCCCCTCCCTCCCCTCCCTCCCCTCCCTCCCCTCCCTCCCTCCCCCGTCTGTTCCCTCCCCTTTCACAGAGAAGGCCTAAGAAAGCAGACGGAGAAAACATTTATATCAGGCATAGCAGGCTAATGTTAGAGGTTCGTATGGTGCCTGCCCCGTCCCTCCACTCCGCGACCTCTCCAACTTCTTTGTGAATTGCCCCGGGCCCCCGCGTTTGGGGGGTTTTTCCGGCACGTGCGTGCGTGCACACCGCTCTGCATTGTTTTTGGCACGGTGCCCCCCCCCCCCCCCCCCCCCCCGACGTTTTAGCTCCCCGTGCCTCTTTCAGGAACTCTCGGTCTATGCCGGTTGTTTCAGTTCCTGAAGGAGCACGTGGTTGCTGTGGTTGTTGTTGCTGTGGGTGTTGTTGCTGTGGGTGTTGTGGTTGTTCTTGTGGTTGTTGTTGTGGTTGATGCTGTGATTGATGTTGTGGTTGTCTCTGTGGATGTTGTGGTTGTTGTAGTTGTTGTGGTGGTTGTTGTTGTTGTGCATTGCTGTGTGTTGGGCTCTACACGGCTTAAACTTGACACCTCGGTTAAAGTGCCTCAAATACTTCTCTTGGCCATTATTGGTGAATAACGACACGCACACAAACCGACACACACACACACTGCCACACACACTGACACGCACACTGACACGCACACTGCCACGCACACTGACATTTACTGACACGCACACACTGACATGCGCACACACTAACCCGCACACACCAACACGCATACAACGACACGCACAACGACACGTACACACACACTGACATGCACACACTCAAGGACACACACACGCCGACACGCACACATACCGACACACGCACCGACATGCACCGACACGCACACACACAAGGACACACACACGCCGACACACACACACACTGACACGCGTGCACACTGCCATGCAGATGCACCAACATGCTCACATTCCGACACACGCGCACACACGACACGCAACGGCACGTGCACGCACACACACCGACGTGCAACAGAACGTACGCACACACACTGACACGCACACACACACGGACACGCACACACACACCGACACGCACATGCACACCGACACGCACACACACACCGACACGCACACACACACCGACACGCACACACACACACCGACACGCACACACACACCGACACGCACACACACACCGACACGCACACACACACCGACACGCACACACACACCGACACGCACACACACACCGACACGCACACACACACCGACACGCACACACACACCGACACGCGCACACACACACCGACACGCGCACACACACCGACACGCATGCACACACCGACACGCACGCACACACCGATACGCACACACACACCGACACGCACACACATACTGACACGCACACACACACCGACACGCACACACACACCGACACGCACACACCCACCGACACGCACACACACACACCGACACGCACACACACACCGACACGCACACACACACCGACACGCACACACACACACCGACACGCACACATACACACTGACAGGCACACACACATCCAACACGCACACACACACCGACACGCATGCATGTCACCGCGGCCGCCCTCTAACCGCTGGGGTGGTGGTGGGCGACGGTTCCCGCAGGAGCTGGAGCGCCGGCCGGACGAGCTGCTGCTCAAGCGGCAGGCGAGCCTCAGCGAGCTCAAGCGCTCCTTCCTGGAGTCGCGGCCCGACGGCGCGGCCGGCGCCATGACGGCGCCGCCGGCCGGCGGCTGGGACATCCGCCTGCAGGAGCCGTCGCCCGTGCACCGGCACGGCCAGCCCGGCACGGAGGTCCGAACCCCCCCCCCCCCCCCCCCCCCCCCCCCCCCCCACAGCCCCCAGCACCGATTGGCAGAGGCATCCTCTTCCCTCGCACGCAGAGAGACAAACAGAGACACCCGTAGACTTGCACAGTGCCTCGAACAGAGACCCGTAGATTCACACACAGACTCACCCAGAGACCCATAGACTCACACAGAGACCCGTAGATTTGCACAGAGCTCACAGAGACCCATAGACTCACACAGAGACCCGTAGACTCATACAGAGACCCGTAGACTCGCAAAGAGAATCAGAATCAGTGTCTTTATTTCGACTGCAGGAGGAATGCGATGAGCTATGAAGCTCTTTTTCACAGATATCCAGTATGGGGGGGTCAGCAAGTTACACCGGCAAAGAATACAAAAAAACCTGCAGACTCCCACAGAAACCCAGAGACTCACGCAGAGACTCGTAGACTCACACAGAGACTCACACGGAGACCCGTAGACTCACACAGAGACTCGCACAGAGACCCGTAGACTCACACAGACTCACACAGAGACCCGTAGACTCACACAGAGACTCACACAGAGACCCGTAGACTCACACAGAGACTCACACAGAGACCCGTAGACTCACACAGAGACTCACACAGAGACCCGTAGACTCACACAGAGACTCACACAGAGACCCGTAGACTCACACAGAGACTCACACAGAGACCTGTAGACTCACACAGAGATCCGTAGACTTTTTACTCAACGAGCAGAACCTCCGATTTTTTTGGATTAATAAGCCTTTCGTTCCGTGCAAACTACTCGCGCACCGCGCGCGTGCGATCTTCATGGACTGCCGAGGCTCTCCATATCTAGCTGTGACTTCACTGCGGTGTACAATAGTACATCATCGGCATATCGGCGGAACTTGATGTTAATACGATGAGAGACGTATGTTGAAAATAGGAAGAGCGCGGGTACGGGGGGGGGAGACCCCCTGTGGATAGCCGACTAGGCAGGGCACGGGCAATGTCTGTTCGTCGCCCAGCTTGACGAACTGCGATTGACCGAACCTTGACCTTAGCCTGTCCGATGAGTGTCTGGTGGTCAGTGGTGTCGTAAGCGGCTGAGAGATCGAGGCTGACCAACAACGCGGCGCACCGCTCGTCCGTGAACTTGTCGAGGTCATCGGTGACCTTTAGCCAGAGCCGTCTCGGCGCCGCGCGACTTCTGGTACGCCGACCGCAACGGTTTGAATCTGCCCGTGGCAGCGGCGCAGGGAAGGAACCGCTTCGGACGCAGGTGCTCTGCGACCTTTGAAATCGCGCTCGGGTTCGAGATGGGGGGGGCGATAGTTGTGCGGGGTCACCTACGGCTCGAGGCCGACTCTTCTCGGCGGCATGCGTTGCCCGCGCCGTTTTTAACCGGTCCGGCAAACGGCCCTCTCGCCTTCACGAAACATTTGGCGGGCGGACGATCGGCGGCGGCAACCGCTGTGCGAGCGCACGGCTCGCGAATCGCCGTGTGGACGTGGTCGAGCCGGCGACGGCTTCCTTTGGCGGCCGCGGTCGATGGAAGTCGACGCACCTCTGGCCACACCGACGTTGGTGCCAGGGTCGCTGTTTCTTTTGCGCTGGTTCCTGGTTGATGAAACCATCCGTGGGGCAGGGGTTGGGGGGGAGTCTATCCACGGGTCAGGCGCCGTTAGCTTCTCCCACAACGTGGTACAGGCGACCCCCGCACCTACGACCTAATTGGTTCCTGGACGACGATCGCAAGTCGAGGCGTCGTAAGTCGAACCCTCGCTTCCCATAGGGCGCGTTGTCAGACATTGGGGTTCTGTTCCTGGAAACCCATTCCCTCCCGTAAAAATACCAAAATTGGCCAACAAACATTTATTGTAACTTAACATAACTGTTAGCAACATTTATTAAGTAAAAAACAAACACATTGGAAAATCCTTAAGTACTTTTCTGCACATGCATCACATTTCCTCTTCTCAGATGTATTAAAAGGCGAACATTTTTTTTTTACAAAGAAGTGAAGAGTGTCGAGAAAGAGACGCTGCTGCGTTTGCTCCCGGCGCAGCTGCAGACTGTCGGGCTACCCTGGACATGCGCATTCGGCAGAAGAGCAAAGCAGCGCGTGGCATGCGCAGACTCGTCACCCGATGGCGCTAGCGTCTGCGAGTGGCGTGCTCGGACGCAGCGCCAATCGACTCGGCATCGGTAGCAGTCGCTAGGCGGTCGTAGACGGGAGTTTTGGTCGGAAGAAAGGTCGCAAAAGCGGGGGTCGTAAGTCGGGGGTCACCTGTACTTGTTTTATCGGCCCTGGAGCGCGATGATGGGTCCGAGTCACAACCCCCAGCCAGGATTCAAACTCAAAGCGTTTTCTGCTCGCTCTGCCGCTCGCTCTGCCGCTGGGCGGGAACGCCGCCGGCTCCAAGCGGCGTTTTGTATCGGCCGCTGCGATCCACTCAGAATCAGAATACAAATTTTATTTCGACTGTCGGAGGAAGAATCCGATGAGCTATGAAGCTCTCTGTCACACACGTCCAGTATGGGCAGGGTCAGCGGGTTACACTCGCAAAGCCCCGACGCAGACTTCCAGCGCCGGCTGGTCCTGTCGCTGACCGCGTGCGAAGCCGAACTTGGGGCGCCGAGATGTTAACTCCCTCGCCTGGTATACAGGAGGTCGTGAGTTCGACCCTTACCCTGAGTCTGCATGTTCTCTCTCCCCGCGGTCGCGTGGATTTCTCTCCGCATTTAGAATCAACGTGCGTTTAGAGTATTTGGCCTCCGCTGTACATTTCCACGCGATAAGCCATTTGGCTGAGCTATCGTTTATGATGGGCCAGGTGGCTTCTGAAAAAGCGCTACTTAGCTGAGTGGGGCCTTACCTGGTAACATAAAAAAACGGAGCCCAGCACGAACAACAACAACAACAACAACAGCACAGCAACAACAACAGCGAGCCCCAGGGACAGCTTGGGCAGGCACACCACGCACCACACACTGACACCTCCTCGAAGATGGCTAAGCCAGTCAAGACCACGAGATGTGTTCACATCCACGCACTGCAGAGTCAGTGAATGCAAGACATGGAGAATGGGGGGAGCCTTGAGCTAATGAAGTCACTGCTGCTCTTGCACCGAACTGCAAACCCAGTGAATGTGTGTTTCTCACTAACCTGCTTCTAACGTCTGCTTCTCTCCTCGCCGCCGCTGCTGCCTCCCTCACTGCTGCTGTTCACGGTTCCTCGCCCCGTCGCTCGGCTCCACGCACCCCCATTGCCCCCTGGTGACAGCCGCTTGCTCATTCATCTCAAAACCCACCAACGCCGCCTCCAACCCCACCGCCCCCGTCCGTGTCTCTCTCCCCAAAACACCCACGACCCTCTGCCCTGCCAACCCTAACCCTGCCTCTGTCTTGACACCACAACACCACCCCCTCCTGAACGATGTCACATCTGAACGATGTCACATCTGAACGGTGTTACGTCCTGAATGACGTCACGTCACGTGATTCACCGATGTATCACCATGACCCACCATCGTAACCGGTGTACGTTGCGAACGATGGTAACGATACGATGAATCATCCGTGTTATTTGCCATGGTGTTCCATTATCATTGGTGTACCATTATAATGTACCAACACGGATGATGTAACATCATGATGTACCATTACAATGTACCATTACGATCTACCAACATGAATGATGAACCATTACAATGTACCATCGTGATATACCATCACGATGTACCATCATGAATGATGAACCATTACAATGTACCATCGTGATGTACCATCACAATGTACCATCATGAATGATGAACCATCACGATGTACCATCATGAATGATGTACCATCATGAATGCTGTACCATCACGGTGTCCCATCACCTCCGGCGCATGCGCCCCTCCTCCTCCACCTCCTCCCTGGCTGCCGCCGCCGTTGCTGCCGTGACCCTGAAGGATGATGAGGAGGAGGAGGATTATTGGGCACAGCTGCCCGAGGAGCCCGCGCCCTCGAGCGCGCCCAGCGGCCAGCCACACGAGGTGGCCACGGCGGCGCCGGGCGACGCGGCGTGGGCGGAGCGGCCCCTGGGCCCGCACCCGCGGGACCCCCCCGCCCAGTTTGCGGACGAGCTGCTCGTAGAGATCTCGCAGGTGCCGCCGTTGCCGTGACGATAGCCTCACCGTCGCCGTGACGATAGATTCGCCGTGACGATAGCCTCGCCGCCGCCGTGACGATAGATTCACCGCCACCGTGACGATAACCGTGCTGGCTAACGAGCGAGCGGAGAGACCGGCGATATGAACACACGATGCGTCTGTGCGTCTATGTGTCTGTGCGTCTGTGCATATTTGTGTCTGTGCGTCTGTCTCTGTGTGTCTGTGTGCAGCACTTGCCCCAAAGGTCTGTTAAGGCTCTTTGGCTTGTGGGTGGAGATAGTAGGGAGTGGTGGTGCAGCGGTTAGCGTGCTGCGCTTTCCAACCCGACGACCCGGGTTTGATTCCCGCTCACGGTCGACACCAGTGACGCTTGTCTGAACCGGTCTTGGACCTCCCCTAGGTTGACTCAGCCTCAAACGAGTATCTGGCGGCCAGGCGTGGTGCTGGCCACCAACCCCCTCGTGTGCCGTGCCGGCCTTCATAGGTGCTCGCTAAACACACTTGCTAAGCACTTGCTAAGGCTATATGGGATATCTTTGTCTGCATGAGTGTGTGGAGCTTTATTGACCTGGTCAAAGCCCATGATACCATAAATAGGCCAGTACTCCGGGTCATTCTTTGCGCTTTTGGAGTCCCTGACCATCTGATGGTGGGCAGGCCCCAGGTAAAGCTGCGTTGCCGGCAGTCGGAGCCATTCCCCGGTCGCCTTGGAGTGCGATGGGGGATGCCCTCTGGCCTCTGCACCATTTTTAAATCCTTTATATTAAGTTCGCTTGCTTGCTTGCGTGCTTGCTTGCTTACGACCGTGCAAATCTTTCGGTCGTTTTTTAACCCACTTCCCGTGATCCAATCGAGCTGACATTTTCCACACAGACTCGTTGTGCCAGACAATTAATGTTCGAGAAAAAAAAATTCCCAAAATTTTATACTTTTTAGGCAAAAAAAATGTATTTTACATATATTCAAATAGAACTCATTCATCACTTTGGCTGAACGTCACAGTATAAGAGCCCAGAGCGTAACCCCTCCATAGGCCGTGGCGGAGTAGCGCAGTTGGTAGCGTCCTCGCTTCCCATGGCAAAGGTCTTGGGATCGATCCCCGCGTCCTCCACAGGCATATATATTTTTTAAATCCTTTATATTAAGTTCGCTGCCACGCATATAAAGGATTTATAGTGAAAAACTTTGTTTTTACGGGTTATACTTATTGAAACATCTTCCTTCGACCCATGTAGTTCGTAGATGCTTGAATTTTTTTTTGCACAAACGGTTGCAAGACGGCTCGTGTTCTGGGAGTCATCAGGGCGACTCGGCGCAGCGCTGGCGGCACTCGGAGTGGCTCCCCATGGCCGCCTGTGCAGCAGCAGCAACCACAGCAGCAGCAACAGCAGCCGCAGCTCACTAGCCACAGCAGCATCCGCAGTAGCAGCTGAGCCCCCATGCGTGGCAGGGGGAGGCCACTATCACTAAAACTATTTAAGCTTATATTTTTTATTTTATCAGGTAAGGCTCCACTTGAGCTACGTCGCTCTGTTTCAGAATTGACCCTGGCCATTACACATGATAGTTCAACGAAGTGGATTATCGTCATCACGTAGAAATTTATAAGCGGCCAAATTACTCTAAGCGTGTGGCGATGTTGATTCTAAATGTGGAAGGGAAAAACCGGAGGACCCGAAGAAAAATTCACGCAACCACGGGGAGAGAGAGAGAGACACCGCAAACTCCAAATATACAGCAGCAGGCGTCAAGAGTCAGGATTGAATCCCCGACCTGTATACCAGGCGAGGTAGTCAACATCTCCCCGGTGGGGTGCCAGAAACCCTGCTGGTGACGCTGCGGCTTGCGGGCGCTTCGTCGGACCCTTGTGCGTTGGCGCGTCAGGCGAGCTCCATCTTTGTGTGGCCCACCAACCTCTGCCTTCGGACTTTTCCCCCAGACGCTCACTTTTTTCCCGCGTTGCGCCTCGGCCGCTTGTCCCCCGCAGAGGATAGAGAAGAAGGAGGAGGAAGGCTCCAGGGCGGAGGCAGCGCAGCCTCAGCGGCAGCCGCAGCACCAGCCACAGCCGCAGCAGCAGCAGCCGCAGCAGCAGCAGCAGCAGCAGCAGCCGCTGCAGCAGCAGCAGCCGCAGCAGCAGCCACAGCAGCCGCAGCAGCAGCAGCGAATGAGCAGCAGCAGTTCGGTGTCGATGTCGCGGGTCGTCTACAAGACGGTGGTGATCACCGGCGAGCCCGACCTGCTCAAGGGCTCCTCCGACGAGAAGGACGACTCATCCTCCTCGGGCGGCGGTGGCGACGGCGACACTCGCACCGGGCCCTGCGTCCAGACGGCTCCCTCGTCGGGCGGCAGGAGGAGCGGGGAGGAGGAGGAGGAGAGAGCAAAGACGGAGAAGAGAGCGGCGGCGGAGGAGGAGGTCGTCGGACGCGTGGCCGCCCCGCCCCGAGCGGTTCCCCACCACGGGGCCGAGGCGACGGGCGCAGGCGAGGCCCAGGCTTCGGGCGGGGCACCCGGGGAGGAGGCCGAGGGGGCCGCGGGGGACGTCGACTTCCTGGAGAGGGAGATGATGAAGGTGGCCGTGGCGCTGAGGAAGGGGGCGGCCGGTGGGCACGGCGACGAGGGGAAGCCCAAAGCCAACGGGGCCGACGCGTCCGAGTCGGAGACCAGCGAGTCGGAGGAGGAGCGCGGATTTGAGGTGAGGGCCGCGTGTGTGTCCGTGTGTGCGTCAGCGGCGGTTAGCGCGCGACGCCACGAACCCGGCGGCCCGGGTTCGATTCCCGCTCACGGCCAACACCGGTGACGATTATCTGAACCGGTCCTGGGCCTGCCCTAGGTCGACTCGGCCTCAAATGAGTACTTGGTACGGGCGTGGTGCTGGCCACCCACTTCCTCGTGTGCCGTGCCGGCCTTCATAGCACTTGCCCCAACAGTCTGTTCAGGCTCCTTGAAGCAGAAAGTCCCCCAAACGAACCTCAAAAAGTTGCAAGGTCGCCCTATATCTTCACCGTCATCATGAAACAGCCATGGTCATTCCACTGCTGGATGAAAGCTTCAAGTTGCCTCAGGTCTGTGACCGGCGGGGTTGATGCGGCGTTACCCCACGCGGCGTCACCACGCGGTACCACAAGGCGGCAGTAGAGGCACGCACGGCGGTGTGTCGCCGTGTCCGCACTGCGCCGCTGCAGGGCGCTGTCGCTCCACTCTTCTATAGCGCAATAAGATAAACACTCAACAATGTTTTTTATTACACCAGGTAAGGCCTCACTGAGCTACAGGAGCGAACTGGCTATCGCAAATGATAGCCCAATTGGAAGTGGCTTATCATGTGGGAATGCATACTCTGTATGCGTGACGTTGATTCTAAACGTGAACCCGGAGCAAAATCCACACGACCATGGAGAGAGAGAGAGAGAGACGCAAACTCCAAATAAACAGCAGGCGTCAGGGTCGGGATCAAACCCACGACTTCCTGTATAGCAGGTGAAGTCGTCAACATCTCTGAGCCACCGCAGTTGCTCAGGTGAGCTCATTTCTCTCGTACCACGACGCCCCGGGCTTCTTTTCTGGCGTAAACATAGCCGGGCGATTTTGATTCGTGCTTTGCCGCTCGTATTGAAGGGTGCTTGAAGTGAGACGGCGAACAAAACCTCGATCGCACGCGCTAACGGCCGCTATGCGGACCGGAAAGAAAGAGCGAACTGGCGATGCGGGAAAACTGTTGCAGCGTGTCCTGTAGCAACACGCCCCGTCAGTGTGTCCTGTAGCAACACGCCCCGTCACAGTACACCTTGTCACAGTACACCTTGTCACAGTACACCTTGTCACAGTACGCCGACGCAGGACGCCCACCAAGACGTCCCTTGTGTATGGCGCGCAACTCAAATTTCGTAAAAGTGAAAATTCGGAAATCGGGAGTTTGCAATTGGAGGAATGAATGTCTGCATGTTAAGTTGTTTTTTACTTTGAATGGGTGGAAATCGGAGAACCCGGAGGAAGCCCAGACAGGCCATGGAGGAGAACGTACAGACGCCACACAGAACAGCGGCGGTGTCGGGAATCGAACCCCAACCCTTCCCGCTGGGAGGCGCAAGCGTCACCACTGCGATGCCGCCCACGCGAAAACGTGTGTGCGTGTGTGTACATGCGTGTGTATCTGTGTATGTGTACGCGTGCGTGTACGTGTGTGCGTGTGCGGAACACAGCCACCTCTGATCGCCACGGAGAGCGTGAGCTTCAGCGAGGTGTCGCACACGGGGAGGGCGGACTTCTCCACCACGGACGTTCCCATCGTGCACACGCACACCAAGACCATCACCTACGCGGCCACGCAGGTACCAGACGCGCGGATATCACTCGGATAAGGGACAGCGGTCGACGTCTCTCCCACGTGTTCCCGGCGTCTCTCCGCCTCCCCACGTGAAATCCAAAAGTGCTTCTCACCCGACCCGTCGTCCCCGCGGCCTTGAGCGTCGCCACCGCGCCACCCTGCTGCGCCCGCCGGGCCCGTGACCGTAGCTCGTACGACGTTAGCCGGCGCCTCGCGTTGTCACGGCGGCGTCGCTCCGAACCGCCGGAGCCGTGCGAAACGTCGGCCTCTGCCGGGGCCGTGGCCGGATAACTGGCGGCGGTGACGGTGATGCCGACGTTGTGGTTCTCTCGCCAGGAGGGGCGCGGAGGCGAGGCATCCGAGTCGAGTGTCTTGCCGGAAATGGCCGGCTTCTCGGCAGAGTCCGTTGCCACCACGACCACCACGCACATCACCAAGGTAGGGCGGCAACCCCCCCCCAGTGATGGCTGTCCCCCCCCCCCCCCCCCCCCCCCGTGGCTCGCCACCTTTCCTGCAAATGGCTGATAGTCTGCCAGTAGGGGGGCGATGATTGCTCGTGCTGTGTGCTGGTGATTTGTGGGTAATTTTTTTCAAAGTTGCCAAATGTGGACCGTGACCCCGGTGGGGTGGTGCAGCTCAATCAGTCAGCCCACGGTACCTGGATCTGTCCCGTGACCTCCTGCCAGCGGGCATTCGACACTTGGCCTTACAGTGCACATAGCCGTGGTGACATCACCGACACTTGTTGGCGAATGGCGGCTGTTGTTGTGGTGGCGCTGTGCGTGTGTGTGGTGGTTGCGTGTGTGTGTGGTGGCTGTGTGTTTGTGGTGGTGGCGTGTGTGTGTTGGCTCTGTGTGTGTGTGTGGTGGCTCTGTGTGTGTGTGTGTGTGTGGTGGTGGCTGTGTGTGTGTTGTGGTGGCTGTGTGTGTGTGTGGTGGCTCTCTGTGTGTGTGTGTGGTGGTGGCGCGTGTGTGTGTGTTGTGGTGGCTGTGTGTGTGTGTGGTGGCTCTCTGTGTGTGTGTGTGTTGTGGTGGCTGTGTGTGTGTGTGGTGGCTCTGTGTGTGTGTGTATGGTGGTGGTGTGTGTGTGTGTGGTGACGTGTGTGTGTGTGTGTGGTGGTGGCGTGTGTGTGGTGGTGGCTCTGTGTGTGTGTGGTGGCTCTGTGTGTGTGTGTGGTGGCTCTTCGTGTGTTTGTGTGTGTGTCTGTGTGTGTTTGTGTGTGGTGTTGGCTGTGTGTGTGTTGGCTGTGTGTGTGTTGGCTGTGTGTATGTTGGCTGTGTGTATGTGTGTATGTATGTGTGTGTGTGCTCTGTGTGGCTGTGTGTGTGTGTGGTGTTGGCTCTGTGTGTGTGTGTGGTGACTCTCTGTGTGTGTGTTGGCTGTGTGTGTATGTGTGTATGTGTGTGTGTTGGCTGTGTGTATGTTTGCTGTGTGTGTATGTATGTGTGTGTGTTGGCTGTGTGTATGTTTGCTGTGTGTGTGTGTATGTGTGTGTTGGCTGTGTGTATGTTTGCTGTGTGTGTATGTATGTGTGTGTGTTGGCTGTGTGTATGTTGGCTGTGTGTATGTGTGTATGTATGTGTGTGTGCTCTGTGTAGCTGTTTGCTGTGTGTGTGTGTATGTGTGTGTGTTGGCTGTGTGTGTGTTTGCTGTGTGTGTGTGTGTTGGCTGTGTGTGTATATGTGTGTGTGTTGGCTGTGTGTGTGTGTGCTCTGTGTGTGTGTGTATGTGTGTGTGTGTATGTGTGTGTGTGTGCTCTGTGTGTGACCGCGTCTCTCACCGTGCTCGTAGACGGTGAAGGGAGGCATCTCAGAGACGCGCATCGAGAAGCGCATCGTCATCATGGCCGACACCGACATCGACCATGACCAGGTGTGTGCACGCGCGTGGCCTCCCCTAGGTTGACTCGGCCTCAAATGAGTACCTGGCATAAACAGCAGCGGGGGTGGTAACCACGGCGCGTGCCGTGCCGCGTTCGCTCGCGGTTCCAATGCCGGGCGCCCATTTGAGACGAGGGAGGGGTCCGCGCCCGATGCCGCCGGCGGCGCCGCAACATTTGGGCTGCGTGACGGCCGCTCGCGACCTCGTCCCCGAGTCTGGGGATGCGTGAAAGTCGTGCCGTGATGGAACACTGCGTGACTTCTAAATTTAGAAATGTAAAGCCCTCTGTGCGGACACCGGACGGATTTTAATCCGTCCCATCTGTACGGATGAACGCTGCGGAAGTTAAAAATCCCAGCAAGCGGCGGCGGCAGCGGCGGCGGCTGCGGCGTCACGCTGCTCCACGTTTCAATAATTTTCCTCGCAAATTGCTCAATTGGGATTTCTTCGTGGCGACCATCGCCCCCCCGCCCCTCTACCCCGAAAAATTGGCGGGACCACCCTCCTGAAGAAAAGTGGTCTCCGAGACCCGGCGAGGTTGTCGTGGGTAAGCAAGCCCAATCGCGATGACAAAAACAACGACAACCGGTTGTCACATGGCTCAAATAAGTGGCAAGAGAGAATAGCGGGGGGTGAGTGGAGGAAGACCTCGGCCATCTCTGCTCTCGGGTTCCAGCCAGCGGGGAACGGGAGCGGTCTCAGACAATATCCAAGCTTCCCGCGTGGACGCCCGGTGGGGAGCAGGGACGGGCAGCGCAGCGCAGGGAGGCTGCCTCCGACGCCGCCTGTGCTGGGAAGGAGCCGGCAGGCGCCGGCTCGCTGCCTCCTCTGACGACGGTGTGAGGCCGGCGGTGGTCCACAATGCGGGGCGTGCAGCGTCGCCTTGAAGTCGTCGTGTTTCTTATGAATGTCGCCCAGAAGTGGGTGGAAAATGCTATCCAAGGCTACAAGTGCCTTGAGGGTGTGTGAGTGTTTGGGAACACGTAGGCTCGGGTGTGAGTGTCGGGATAAAGGGGTCATCCTGCAGCCTATTGTGAGCGCACCGTGTGGTGCTAGAGGTACGCTACGGTGTGAAAGCGAGCAGGGTGGCTGGGATAAAAAATTTAAGACAAACCAAACCTCTTGAATCGACTCAAGTTTGGTTGCTGCCTCACTCGACCTGACCCACACTACACACGGGCGTGACTTGGCTGACCACAAATACAATGGTGGCGGCGATGAAGGCGAGCCTGTGAAAGTAAGCACGAACCAAAAGGAACACATCGGTGCTGCGACTGGCGGCTTCGGTATTCTCATCTCGCGGCGATGGCACTCTGGAGCAGGAGATTTCTCCCCTCGTGAGTGAAGCTGCGATGAGGCTTGGCCCTGAGAACACGCTGCGTTGCTCCGCAGCGATCCGTCACCCTGTCGCCTTGTTGTGACCAGCCCCTTGCTTTGACCTCCTGTGTCTCGGCCCATTTAACAGTCGGAAAAGTTTACTACTTGTTTAAAAAAAAAATATTCTGGTAGGAACCTCCGAGTTACACCAGCCCACAGGGGATCATTGTGTCCGTCGTGCAGGGAGGGGCTGGGTGGGGAGGGAGGGGATGGGTGGGGAGGGGAGGGTGGGGAGGGGCTAGGTGGGGAGGGTGGGGCTGAGTGGGGAGGGTGGGGAGGGGCTGGGTGGGGAGGGTGGGGAGGGGCTGGGTGGGGAGGGGCTGGGTGGGGAGGGTGGGGAGGGGCTGGGTGGGAGGGGTGGGGCTGGACTGGTCACCCCGTGGTGCCCTTATAAAACTCAACGTTTAACCTACTCACGCCGGCTTGTGCCCGCCCTCACAGTCGGCCATATTTGCAGAATAAACCACGCGGCTGTTGACCCTGGCCATTGACCGAGCAACCCAACGTTCCTACCAGCTCCCTCCACAGGAATGTGTTTTTTAACTTGATTTGAAGCTTTCGTGACTGCAGGAATTACTCTTTATTTTACCAGGTAATGGCCCCACTGAGCGACCCCACCATCACAAATGAAAGCTCAATGAAGTGGCTTCTCATCGGCGTGTGGACATTTATAGCAGCGGCCAAACGTGTGATGTTGATTCTGAATGTGGAGGGGAAAACTGGAGGACCCGCAGAAAAATCTACGTGATCACGGGGAGAGAGAGGCACGCAAATTTCAAATAGGGGTTGGGATCGAACGCACGTCCTCCTGTATGCCAGGCGAGGTAGTTAACATTTCTCTACCATGGCGTGCGTGTGACGACCTGTGTGTGTATGACAGTGGGGAGCGGTAGTGTAGCGGTTAGCGCGCTGCGCGATGAACCCGGCGACACGGGTTCGATTCCCGCTCACGGCCAACACCAGTGGCGATCATCTGCACCAGTCCTGCGCCTCCCCTAGGTCGACTCAGCCTTAAATGAGTACCTGGTGCTGTGTGTGGTAAACATCGCCACTGGGGAGACAAAGGCGGTCGGGCATGGTGCTGGCCACCCACCCCCTTGTGTACCGTTCCGGCCTTCATAGGTGCTCGCTAACAGCACTTGCCCCTCCAGTCTGTTAAGGCTACACGGGGGATCTTTGTCTTTGTGTGTGTATGACAATCTGCGTGTGACAACCTTTGTGTGACGACCTGCCTGTGTGCGTGTGACGACCTGTGTGTGTGACGACTTGTGTGTGACGACCTCCGTGTGACGACCTCCGTGTGACGACCTGCGTGTGTGACGACCTCCGTGTGACGGCCTCCGTGTGTGCGTGTGACGACCTGTGTGTGTGTGTGACGACCTGTGTGTGCGTGTGACGACCTGTGTGTGTGTGTGACGACCTCCATGTGACGACCTCCGTGTGACAACCTCCGTGTGACGACCTCCGTGTGACGGCCTGCGTGTGACGACCTGCGTGTGACGACCTGCGTGTGACGACCTGCGTGTGACGACCTCCGTGTGACGACCTGCGTGTGACGACCTCCGTGTGACGACCTCCGTGTGACGACCTGCGTGTGACAATCTGCTTGTGACGGCCTGCGTGTGACGACCTGCGTGTGACGACCTCCGTGTGACGACCTGCGTGTGACGACCTGCGTGTGACGACCTGCGTGTGACGGCCTCCGTGTGACGAGCTGCGTGTGACGAGCTGCGTGTGACGAGCTGCGTGTGACGACCTCCGTGTGACGACCTCCGTGTGACGACCTGCGTGTGACGACCTGCGTGTGACGACCTGCGTGTGACGACCTCCGTGTGACGAGCTGCGTGTGATGAGCTGCGTGTGACGACCTCCGTGTGACGACCTCCGTGTGACGACCTGCGTGTGACGAGCTGCGTGTGACGACCTCCGTGTGACGACCTGCGTGTGACGACCTGCGTGTGACGACCTCCGTGTGACGACCTGCGTGTGACGACCTGCGTGTGACGAGCTGCGTGTGACGACCTGCGTGTGACGACCTGCGTGTGACGACCTCCGTGTGACGGCCTGCGTGTGACGGCCTGCGTGTGACGGCCTGCGTGTGACGAGCTGCGTGTGACGACCTCCGTGTGACGACCTCCGTGTGACGACCTGCGTGTGACGACCTGCGTGTGACGACCTGCGTGTGACGACCTCCGTGTGACGAGCTGCGTGTGACGACCTCCGTGTGACGACCTCCGTGTGACGACCTGCGTGTGACGACCTGCGTGTGACGACCTCCGTGTGACGACCTGCGTGTGACGTCCTGCGTGTGACGACCTCTGTGTGACGACCTGCGTGTGACGACCTGCGTGTGACGAGCTGCGTGTGACGACCTGCGTGTGACGACCTGCGTGTGACGACCTCCGTGTGACGGCCTGCGTGTGACGGCCTGCGTGTGACGAGCTGCGTGTGACGACCTCCGTGTGACGAGCTGCGTGTGACGAGCTGCGTGTGACGACCTGCGTGTGACGACCTGCGTGTGACGGCCTGCGTGTGACGACCTGCGTGTGACGGCCTGCGTGTGACGACCTGCGTGTGACGACCTGCGTGTGACGACCTGCGTGTGACGACCTGCGTGTGACGAGCTGCGTGTGACGACCTGCGTGTGACGACCTGCGTGTGACGACCTCCGTGTGACGACCTGCGTGTGACGACCTCCGTGTGACGAACTCCGTGTGACGGCCTGCGTGTGACGACCTGCGTGTGACGGCCTGCGTGTGACGGCCTGCGTGTGACGGCCTGCGTGTGACGGCCTGCATGTGACGACCTGCGTGTGTGACGACCTCCGTGTGACGGCCTCCGTGTGTGCGTGTGACGACCTGTGTGTGCGTGTGACGACCTGTGTGTGCGTGTGACGACCTGTGTGTGTGTGTGACGACCTGCGCGTATGACGACCTCCATGTGATGACCTCCGTGTGACGACCTGTGTGTGTGTGTGACGACCTCCATGTGACGACCTCCGTGTGACAACCTCCGTGTGACGACCTCCGTGTGACGGCCTGCGTGTGACGACCTGCGTGTGACGACCTGCGTGTGACGACCTGCGTGTGACGACCTCCGTGTGACGACCTGCGTGTGACGACCTGCGTGTGACGACCTGCGTGTGACGGCCTCCGTGTGACGAGCTGCGTGTGACGAGCTGCGTGTGACGACCTCCGTGTGACGACCTGCGTGTGACGACCTCCGTGTGACGACCTGCGTGTGACGACCTGCGTGTGACGACCTCCGTGTGACGACCTGCGTGTGACGACCTGCGTGTGACGGCCTGCGTGTGACGACCTGCGTGTGACGACCTCCGTGTGACGAGCTGCGTGTGACGAGCTGCGTGTGACGACCTGCGTGTGACGGCCTGCGTGTGACGGCCTGCGTGTGACGGCCTGCGTGTGACGACCTGCGTGTGACGACCTGCGTGTGACGACCTGCGTGTGACGACCTGCGTGTGACGAACTCCGTGTGACGGCCTGCGTGTGACGGCCTGCGTGTGACGGCCTCCGTGTGACGGCCTGCGTGTGACGACCTGCGTGTGACGACCTGCGTGTGACGACCTGCGTGTGACGAGCTGCGCGTGTGCGTGTGTGTTGTTTATTCTGAGCAGGCCCTGGCCCAGGCAATCCGCGAGGCCAAGGAGCAGCACCCCGACATGGCGGTCACCAAGGTGGTCGTGCACAAGGAGACGGACGTCTCGATCGAGGACGACGACGACGACGAGGAGCAGCAGCAGCGCCCCTGAGGGCCGCTGCCCCACACCCCCCTCCCTGCCCAGGTGACGCCGCAGCCCGTCGGCCTCCCGACCCTCACGGTGCCCCCTTGCTGCGCACTGCGCGTCTGAGCCGCGCCAAGTCAGCCTATCGGGAGGGGGGATGCGCCAGCTTGTTTTTCCACTGCGGAAGTCGAGCCGTGGAGACTTTCTTTAATGTGCCGGGTGAGGCCTGACTGAGCTGTGTAGTTCTTTTTCGGAAGCGACTTGGCCATCACAAATGGATAGCCCAACGACAAGTGGCTTATCACGGGTAAATGTATAGCAGCAGCAGCCAAATACTCTAAACGCGTGACGTTGATTCTAAACGTGGATGGCAAAAAAAAATCGGAGGACCTGGAGAAAAAAAAAAATCCACGCGGCCACAGGGAGCAGGCGTCAGTGTCAGGATCGAACCCACGAACCTCCTGTACACCAGGCGAGGTAGTTAACATCTCCTAGCCACCGTGATGATGAGAGAGAGACACCGCAGACTCCAAATATACAGCAGGTGTCAGGGTCGGGATTGAGCCTATGACCCACCTGCATACCAGGCGAGGTCGTTCACATCTCCTAGCTACCGCGTCGATTTTTTGTTTAATTCGAGGTTCAAGTTTGTGGGTCTGCTTTGTTTTATCATGTTGGGTGCTATGGGCTTGAGCCGTGCAGTGCACGCACGCACAAAGGAAAAGACAAAGATCCCCCAGGATAGCCTGACAGACTGCTGGGGCAAGTGCTGTTAGCAAGTACCTATGAAGGCCGGCAGGGCACAAGAGGCGGTGGGTGGCCAACACCACCCCCGGCCGCCTTTGTCTCCCCAATGGCGATGTTTACACACCGCACCAGGTACTCATTTTAGGCTGGGTCGACCTAGGGGAGGCCCAGCAACGGTTCTGATAATCGTCACTGGTGTTGGCCGTGAGTGGGAATCCAACTCGGGTTGCCGGGTTCATAGCGCAGCATGCCAACCGCTGCACCACCGCTCCCCACACACACAACACGTGTACACGCACACACACACACCTGGCAGATTGCCAGGTGTGTGTGTGTGCGGCGGTCTGCTGCCGATGCTCACTGGTGATGTCTGTTTGGCGGTGGCGGCGGGGTGCGTGCGTGTGTTTGGCGCGTGCGTGTGTGGTGCGTGTGTGGTGCGTGCGTGTGTGGTGCGTGCGTGTGTGGCGCGTGCGTGTGTGGTGCGTGCGTATGTGGTGCGTGTGTGGTGCGTGTGTGGTGCGTGCGTGTGTGGTGCGTGCGTGTGTGGTGCGTGCGTGGTGCGTGTGTGGTGCGTGCGTGTGTGGTGCGTGTGTGGTGCGTGTGTGGTGCGTGTGTGGTGCGTGCGTGTGTGGTGCGTGCGTGTGTGGTGCGTGTGTGGTGCGTGTGTGGTGCGTGCGTATGTGGTGCGTGCGTGTGTGGCGCGTGCGTGTGTGGTGCGTGCGTGGTGCGTGTGGCGCTATGTGCTTGGTGTCCTCAGCGGCTGGCAGGAGGGGTGGAGCCACGGGGCCGTGGGGAGGTCACCCCGCGAGCGTCGCGCCACAGGAACCACTCCCGTGCCGCAGCGGCGGCCCCCGCCACACGCCAGGGGGACGTCACCCACCCTCGGCGCCGCTGTTGCCCGCGGTTGCTGGCGCCCATTCCGCCGCCCCTGACTCGCACCACGCTTCACGATTTGTGTTTGTTTGTTTCTCTCTCGCTCTTGATCTCAGATTATTATTATTTTTTTACGTTGTCTGTTAACGTTTTGCTTTTTATTCCGTTCGCTCGTGCGCGTTTTTAATCGTGCGCGCGGGAAAGGAAAAATAAAACCTCGCAAAGGGGCCTCCTGCCAAAATCCCCACAGCCTGGGAGGCTGCCGCAAGTTTCTAACTGCCTTGGGGGGCTGCCGCGAGTTTCTAATGGACTTGGGTGGCTGCCGCGAGTTTCTAACGGCCTCGCGCTCCTTCGGTCTGGAGCCACCGGCTCTCCACCGTACATCTCGGATGATAACGTCTTTAACCGGCCACGATGAACGTTTTTTGTATTTTTCTTATTTTAAATCTTCGCTAAAAGACCAACACCGCTCGCTGTCTCTCAGCCTGATGAGAGGTTGCTGCTGCTGCTGCATTCTTCAGCGTTGGAAGTGGCGGTGGTTGCTCTCCTGCTTCCCCGTGGCGAACCAGCCTTCACTTCCAGGGGTAACTGCTGGCCTGTGCTTAACAACAGCAAGAACTAAACTTGTTTTAGTTTTACCAGGTAAGGCCCACTGAGCTGTGCAGCTCTTGTCAGAAGCTGCCTTGGCCACAAATGAGAGCTCGACGAAGCGGCTCAGCGTCGCATGGACATGTATGTCGGCCAAACACCCTGTGAATGCACGTCGATTCTAAATGTGGCGGGGGGAAAGCTGGAGTTGCTGGCGAAAAATCGACACGACCGCGGGGAGAGAGAGAGAGAGAGACACCGCAAACTTCAAATATGCGTCAGGGGTCGGGATCGAACCCATGTGGACGTCGCACAAGCCCGGCTTGCCGTGGCCACGGGAGCCGACGGAACTGGTCGTTTTATTTTGTACCTTCCTGAAGCTTCCTTGTCTCTCTCTTCCTCTCTCTCTCTTCACAAAAACCCGCCCCAACGGCGCGACCCCACGCTCGGGGGACGCAGTTCCGTTCCGCCCCCCTCGCCCCCCCCCTCGCCCTCCCCCGTCGAAGTGAGATGGAGGCCAAGCGAATGGGGGCTCCCACTGGAGGGGGGGTGGGCTGCTCGTGAATTGAAACAGAATTCGGAATCTTTGTTTATCCTGGATGGAAATCCGATGAGCTTTGAAGCTCTTTCCCCCCTCGCCCCCCCCCCCCCCCCCCCCACAGATATCCAGGTCGGGTTGCACGGGGTCAGAATGTTACGGCAGCACTCGGTAGACAAAACACAACCATGGGAAGTATAGAGAAGGGGAAGAAAATCGCAACGAAAAATGTTTTTACTCTTTTTATTTTACCAGGTATGGCGCCACTGAGCTCTTCAGTGACTCCTCAACTTACGAACATTCGACTTGCGAACTTTCAGATATGCGAACAAACCTGTCCGCATGTCCAGTTGCCTGTTTGGACCAAGAGTCGTAAGTTCAACCGCTGCGCAATAGACGGCGGTAGTGGCATCTACGTCTGCAGGAGATTATACAACTTGTAAAGTCATTCCCCGTGTTAGGTGTACACGCCGTACAACAATGTTTGGAATCGACAGGAGTAGAGTTTGGACTTACGAACAAATCGATTTACGAACAGACCTCTCGAAACCTAACTCGTTCGTAAGTCGCAGAGACCCTGTATGTATCTATTTTTTTCAGAGGTGGCCTGGTCACAAATGATAGTTTAACCAAGCGGCTTATCATCACGCGGGAAAATGTACGGTGGCCAAAGACCCTGGACGCGTGGCGTTGATTCTGAACGACGGAGGGGGGGGGGACGGGTGCGGCGTCGCTGGCTCCTGCCGTGGCTTGCCGACGAGGCCGATCGGAGCTCGCGTTGTGACCGTGTCGCACTGTTTTTGGCCAATACCAATTCTACTCTGTGTGGGTTTAGCTATGGGAGGAAACCCGTGCAGAATAGGGGGGAGAGGCTACACACAGCAAGGCACCCGTGTCGGGAATCGAACCCAGGTCCCTCTTGCCATGAGGCACGAGTGTTACCAGCGCCGCCACCACGGTGGTGTCCACACACCCGCGTGGAGCTGCAGGCCCGTGATGATGACGACGTTGGAGAGGCTTCATTAGAGGCTGCCGTTGCGTAAGAGATGGGAATTAGTTGGCAGTTCCCTATGGGGCGATGTAACCTAAACCCTCGTGTTCCAGTCACGTGGGTTCATAGTAGTGGCCGCGCGACGTTCGGCGCGCTGAGGTCCGACGTTTCGCTCCGCGTGCCCGGGGAGGTCCTTCGGGATATGAATGTCCGCGTTCGGTCGAAACGTCGGGGGACGTCGCGCCGAGCGAGACGCGGCACGACCCGGAGGGCGACGCGGCGGCACGGCCGCGAAGCCCAACGGCCTGGACTCGAACCACGTTCACCAACTTGCAGGCTACCGCTGTGTGTACCACGGCGTGTACCGCTGTGTGTGCCGCTGTGTGTGTACCGCTGTGTGTGTACCGCTGTGTGTGTACCGCTGTGTGTGTACCACGGCGTGTGTACCGCAGTGTGTGTACCTCTGTGTGTGTACCGCTGTGTGTGTACCACGGCGTGTGTACCGCAGTGTGTGTACCTCTGTGTGTGTACCGCTGTGTGTGTACCACGGCGTGTGTACCGCAGTGTGTGTACCTCTGTGTGTGTACCGCTGTGTGTGTACCACGGCGTGTGTACCGTAGTGTGTGTACCTCTGTGTGTACCGCTGTGTGTACTGCGGCGTGTACCGCTGTGTGTGTACCTCTGTGTGTACCTCTGTGTGTACCGCTGTGTGTAGAGCGGCGTGTGCACCACGGCGTGTACCGCAGTGTGTGTACCACGGCGTGTGTACCGCTGTGTGTGTACCGCTGTGTGTACCGCTGTGTGTGTACCGCTGTGTGTGTACCGCAGTGTGTGTACCGCAGTGTGTGTACCGCGGCGTGTACCGCAGTGTGTGGAGCGGCATGTGCACCACGGCGTGTACCGCTGTGTGTGTAACTCTGTGTGTACCGCTGTGTGTGTACCGTGCCGAGTGCACTACGGCGTGTACCGTGCCGTGCTGCGTGCCCCCGCTCGCCACTGTGTGACTGCGGTGCCAGGGTGAGGTAGGCTGGGATGGCGAGCGCTGAGGACCGCGTCGATCTCTCGGCGCGCCCGCCCGGGTCACTCTGAGCCACTGCACGCAGGCTGAGTGAGAAGAGCGCCCCTCCACCCCTCCACCCCTCTACCCCTCCTCACCCAGTCTGAGACTAAGTGTAAATGCATGTCGAGATGAGTTGTATGCGGGAGGCAGTCAGGAATCCCAACCACAGAGGAGTCCCACATCAGCCCTGGCCATTGTCGTTTGTGTGCATGTCACGACCTCCACCCGCCCCCCAATTGTATCGCAGTCGCCGCGCTAACGGCGTCAAGTGTCCACGGACCCATTGGGAGCTCTCCGGCAGGCGAGCGGCGCAGCCCCCCTCCGCTTTAAGGGGACGCGGCCCACGGAATGGGGTGTCACAGAGCTACTTCCCACGACGTGACGTCTGGAACTCGCGGCAGGGGGCAGCCCCATCCCGATTGTTGTCACGTGATGGTCAAATCCGATTTCATTTTCTTCTCTCTTCCGCGCATTTATTTCATGCCGCACAATTCTCCCGGCTTGCGCGCTGGGTCAGAACGCGACGATGTGGGACAGAGGGCGTGCCGCGTTCCACTCTCAGCCCGAGTCACCCCCCCCCCCCGGCCTTTCGCTTCACGATCATCGCAACGCCACCGTGCCGAGAGCAGTTTGCGTTCTGCGGTTTGTTTCTTATTTTTGCCATTTTAACCCATCTTGACTCAATGATATTGACCAATGGTATCGAGTTATTTGCGTGTTATTTGACTCGGTAAAGGGGGCTGGGGGGGGGGGTAATCCGCATGTGAACAACAGTGACACTTCGCTTAATTTTTTTTATGATTGTGTTTTGTAACTCGTCCAGTTGCGGACCGATTTTTAGAATAACCGACGGTTTTTAAAAGTACAGGCGAGCGCTCCACACGTGTAACACAGACACGTGTAACACACACACACACACGTGTAACACACACACACACACGTGTAACACACACACACACGTGTAACACACACACGTGTAACACACACACGTGCGCCGGCCCCATCCGCGGGCCTTCAACATCACGGCGGAGATGCGAACCGCGTCACACGCTCGCGTCTTCATTGCTTTTGTACACCTCGGCTCACCCACGTGGCTCGGTGTGGGGTGGCTTTGTGAGCGATCTCGTTCGCTCCTCCTCCCTCCCCCTCCTCCCCCCTCCCTCCCCCTCCTCCCCCCTCCCTCCCCCTCCTCCCCCCTCCCTCCCCCTCTCCTCCCTCCCTCCCCCTCCTCCACTCCTCCCACTCCTCCTGCATCCGAGCTCTTATCTTTAGCTTCCCTGCCAGGTGAATTATGAAGGATGCGCCACGTCAGTGTTAATTTCTCGGGTGGTGAAGGGGAGGGTGGGGTGGGTCTAGGAGCGTCTGCCAACATTTCCAAATATTTGGTGATGGTGGTGATGATGGGGGTTGTGATGTCACCCACTCTGGGTGGGTGTGGGGAGGGGATAACCACCCCGAGTCCCAGCTATTACTGCCCTAGTCAGAGCCCCCGTCCCCTCCCTGTACTGTGAAATAAATGTGGCGATTCGGAACCGTGCCTTTAGTTTCGTGAGTCGTTGTCGGTGTGGGTGCCATCTGCCGGGGGAGGCTCGTGAAGGACGCTGCTGCTGCTGCTGCTGGGCAGTTGGAGGCAGTCGCTCTCCAGCAACAACGGAGGGCGGAGGAGCGGCGCTCACAACAACGAGCGGAGCGCCGGGTCTGTCCCGTGACCTTCCAGCGGGCCTTCTTACACTTCACGTGGCCTTCAAGTGCACCTGGCCTGGCACAGGCGCCGTGATCACGTGGCCTCGCGCCAGCGGCGAGCCCCTTTGGGCCCTGCCACAGGCCAGCGAGAGATTTGCGGCTCTCGTGAGCGCCGGGACACCGGGAGCTCACACCGCCCGTTCACAGTCCGGGGATATTCCCCATTCCTATGACGGGGCGAGTCCATCCATAGAACAGCCACCGCTGACTTGCCCACAAAGCAGTACCTATTGTACCGACCGTGGGAGGGATGATGAGTTATCCCCGAGGCAGGAGTTGAACTCGCGGTGCATAGCACATCTCGAGAAAACGTGACCTTTGTTTACCCGGAAGGGCTTGCAGGAGGTCACGGGACACACCCAGGTGCCGTGGGTTGACTGATGTGCCAGGCCAGGTGCAGTCTGAGGCCACGTGAAGTGTCAAATGCTCGCTGCTGCAGGAGGTCACGGGACACACCCAGGTGCCATGGGTTGACTGATATGCCAGGCCAGGTGCAGTCTGAGGCCACGTGAAGTGTCAAATGCTCGCTGCTGCAGGAGGTCACGGGACACACCCAGGTGCCGTGGGTTGACTGATGTGCCAGGCCAGGTGCAGTCTGAGGCCACGTGAAGTGTCAAATGCTCGCTGCTGCAGGAGGTCACGGGACACACCCAGGTGCCATGGGTTGACTGATGTGCCAGGCCAGGTGCAGTCTGAGGCCACGTGAAGTGTCAAATGCTCGCTGCTGCAGGAGGTCACGGGACACACCCAGGTGCCGTGGGTTGACTGATGTGCCAGGCCAGGTGCAGTCTGAGGCCACGTGAAGTGTCAAATGCTCGCTGCTGCAGGAGGTCACGGGACACACCCAGGTGCCATGGGTTGACTGATGTGCCAGGCCAGGTGCAGTCTGAGGCCACGTGAAGTGTCAAATGCTCGCTGCTGCAGGAGGTCACGGGACACACCCAGGTACGACGTTTCGCCAGTAATTACAACCAGCATCCTCAGGCTGACAGCCACAGTTGTGGAGAAATCCTCCTGGTGCTTCGGTCTTGAATAGACACGGGCTGGGATGAATGTGATGTCGTCACCTGTGAGCCAATCGGGTGCGAAGACCGGAGGGGAGTGGTGGAGGTGTAATCTGTGGATTGAACAGGTGTTGAGATGGTCAAACATCTCTTTTATTGGCAGAAAGGGTAAAATCTGTTTTCTTACTTTTCATACTGGCAAAAAAGGTCACGCAGATGTAGGTCAACTACCCTGATTAAACTAAACCTAAAAAAAAATCTGATAGCAGCGTTTAAAATTTTTAATAATGCGTGTTCCTTTAATATGAATCACTTTACTCTTTGGTTCTTTCGGTAAAGTCACGTAGGTAGAAAAATAAAACGAAATAAAAAATAATATATCACGACGTTGCGATCGCAACACTAGCGGTAGTCTTCGGGCAGAAAAAATAATCCAGCACTAATATATCACGATCGAAACGTGAAGAATTATTTTGTTTTATTTTTCAACCTACGTGACTTTACCGAAAGAACCAAAGAGTATGGATTCCTGCAGTCACGAAAACTTCAAATCAAGAATGATTCACTTTGTGGTATTTAGAAAAAGAGAGACATAAATGAATTCGCTTTGTCACCATGGGTGGTGGTGGCGGCGGGCGGCCGTGTGACACCAAGCACACGAGTTGCAGAAGCACTGCCTCGACACGATAGGGGACCCCCCCCCCCCCCCATGATGCTCCTGAACGGCCGCAGCCCCCCACCTCTGTGAAGGGGCCCCAGGGGGCGGCGTCACTCGGGGATGGCGCCCCCCGAGTGACGGCGTCGCTTCAGTCGCTTCGAGTCACCCGTCTTGGCCACTCACGGTGATTTCGGCGATTGCCACTTGACATCCGTGGGGTTATCCCGTACGTTCTTGTACTCGACATTATTGTAACAGTATTGTCATATACACCCCGATCAACAGTACGCGCATACCCCACTGCACACACACACATCCAACTCGACATACGCACACACACACTCAACCGCACACACATCCAAATACACACACACATACCCAACTGCACACACATCCAACTACACACACACACCCCACTGCACACACATACCCAGCCGCACACACATACACGCACCCCAAACTACACCAACTCATCTCACTAAGCTCGTCCTAAATGACAATAAATCAAAGGCGACGCGTTCCCCTCGAGGGGGAAGGCACCCGGCAGGTCTTCCTCGGCTACGTTCGCCGGATAACGAACGAGTTGAGCAGATAGATGCCACTAATTACCGTGGGATCATCGCAGACTCAACACTTACTTGAAAAGGATCACATTGACCGCGCTGGGAGAAATGCAAAATATTAAAACTGCCTTTCAATCGACACGAAATCAGCTTCCCAGCGAAGCTTCGTTTAGAGTGGAGGGCCAAGTGCTGTGAGCGAGGAGCACCTGTGAAGGCCGGCACGGCACACGAGGGGGGGGGGTGGCCAGCACCACGTCCAGCCGCCTTTGTCTCCCCAGTGGCGATGTTTACTCACTGCACCAGGTACTCATTTGAGGCTGAGTCGACATAGGGGAGGCTCAGGACCGGTTCAGAAAATCGTCACTGGTGTTGGCCGTGAGCGG